TACGAACAAGAGTTGACGGAGCTAAAGAGGCAAAAGGTAACTGAAAATGGAGATAGGGCTCATGTTGAGAGTCATGTGGGGGAAGGCAGTTCCTCACATCCTGCCACTCTGAGAGATCATGAGTCTAGAAGGAAAGAAATTAGGCAGGAGGAACAGAGAGCCCCACCGACCATTACTGATGTGTGGGAAACTGTTAGGAAGTTTAACCCTCCTACGTTTGATGGTAACCTTAAACCATCCGTGGTAGAGGAATGGGTGAAGAGACTCGAATCCATCTTTCGAGTAGTCACATGCACCAGCAATCAAAAAGTACAAGTAGCATTAGTGCTCCTAGTGAAAGGAGCAAGAGATTGGTGGGAGACAGCAGGGCCCAGGGATGATTCTACACTCACCTGGGAGGAATTCAAGGAAAAATTATTTAGGCATTACTTTCCATCAGAGTTAAGGTCTGAGAAGGAAGCGGAATTCCATGCCTTTAAGCAAGGGAACCTCGATGAGGACACATTCATTGCTAAGTTTCAGGAGTTATCTAGATACTCCACGTACCTGCAGTATAGGGATGATTCCGAATGGAAGGCTAAGCGCTTATTGGAGAAGGCTAGACCAGAATTGAGGGAACAATTGGCTCATCTAGATATCCGAGATTATGATGAAATGTGCATAAAACTACAAGTAGTAGCTCGCAGTAAGAAGGAGGTTGAGAGAGAGAAGAGGGGTTATTCATATAGTAGACCCCCAACCTACCCTCGACCCACCGGAGGCATTATGAAGAAAAACCATCAGGGTTCGAGTAGCTCATGGAACCAAGGAAGGCAGAAGGGCCCATTTCAAAGGGGCCAAGGACAGAGGAGCTATCATAGTAATTATCACGGGTCACAGAGGAGCCCAACAATATCTACCCCTACCCCGAGTACAGCGAGCTCTCAGCAGTGCACTAAATGCGGGCGTCGTCATTTCGGACAGTGCTGGGTCTGTTACATTTGTGGGAAACCCGGTCATATTGCAAAGTTTTGTGGGGACAACCAGGGCTCAAATATGAAGAACCCTTCCCAATATCCTACTGTCTCTGGCCGTGTGTTTGCTCTTACTCAGGATACCATGAACTCCCCAGATGCCATTAGAGGTAACATCAAAATCCTTCATCATGATATTGTTGCACTATTTGATTCGGGTGCTACACACTCTTTTATTTCTGAAACTTGTGTAAAGAACCTTGATTTGCTTGTGTGTATTTTACCTTTTGATATGAATGTGTCTACTCCTGCGGGAGAATCTGTGAGGACTACTAAGGCATGCCTTAACCTAGTTGTCGAGTTTAAAAATAGGAAAACAACTATGGACTTAATTATCCTACCACTGAGAGGTATGGATGTAATTGTGGGAATGAATTGGATGGCTGCAAATGGTGTTATCCTAGATTGTAGAGAGAGGAGTGTGTCTTTATCTCCTTTGTCGGTGACCCCAGTCGAGACTCAAGATCATGTTTTCTTGTCGGCGGCGCAAGTTGATAGATGTATGAAGAAGGGTTGCCAGGCCTATATGGTTTTCTTCTCTATCCAAGCTGAGATTGATGAAGGCATGAAGAATATCCCAATTGTCAAAGAATTTGCGGATGTATTTCCAGACGAAGTCTCCGGTTTACCCCCAAAGCGCGAGGTAGAGTTCTCAATTGAATTGGTACCCGGTACAGGGCCAATTTCTAAGGCTCCTTATCGGATGTCCCCTTAGAGTTAGCGGAACTGAAAAAGCAAATTGAAGAGCTACTTGAGAAGGGTTTCATCAGACCGAGTGTTTCACCGTGGGGATCTCCAGTCCTTTTTGTAAAGAAGAAGGACAGAAGCCTTCGATTGTGCATTGATTATAGACAATTGAACAAAGTAACCATCAAGAACAAATATCCACTTCCGAGAATCGATGATTTGCTGGATCAGCTTGTGGTATCGCAGTTTTCTCAAAGATTGACTTAAGGTCAGGGTACCACCAATTGAGAGTGAGAGCGGAGGATATACCTAAGACAGCATTTCAGACGAGATATGGGCATTATGAATTCATGATGATGCTGTTTGGACTTACGAATGCTCCTGCGGTATTCATGGATTACATGAATAGGATCTTTCGACCCTATTTAGATAAGTTTGTAGTAGTGTTTATTGATGACATTCTTATTTATTCAAAGGATGAGGAGGCTCATGGTGAGCATTTAAGAATCGTCTTGCAAGTTTTGAGGGAACATAAGCTTTATGCCAAATTAAACAAGTGTGAATTTTGGCTCCAAGAAGTAAATTTTTTGGGCCATGTTGTGTCCAGAGATGGAGTTGCGGTGGATCCTAGCAAGATTGATGCAGTGATGAAGTGGGAACAGCCAAAATCTATTACAAGATATGAAGCTTTCTAGGTTTAGCAGGTTATTATCGTCGCTTTATTAAGGGATTTTTGCAAATTGCGATGCCCTTAACTAAGCTGACTAAGAAGGATACCCCATTTATTTGGACTGACAAATGTGAAGCTGCTTTCCAAGAATTGAAAAAGAGGTTAACCACTACTCCAGTGTTGACTATTCCTGACCTTGTGGTGCCGTACACTCTGTACACTGATGCTTCTTTAAAGGGTTTAGGATGTGTTTTGATGCAAAATGACCGAGTAGTTGCCTATTCCTCCAGACAGTTGAGACCACACGAGGAAAATTACCCTACTCATGATTTGGAGTTAGCTGTAGTTGTGTTTGCTCTGAAGATATGGAGACACTACTTGTATGGATCTAAGTTTCAAATCTTCAGTGACCATAAGAGCCTGAAGTATTTATTTGATCAAAAAGAGCTTAATATGAGGCAGCGATGATGGATGGAATTTCTGAAGGATTATGACTTTGAATTACATTACCATCCGAGTAAGGCTAACGTGGTAGCTGACGCCTTAAGTAGGAAGACTATTCATGCTGCACATTTGATGGTTCATGAATATCATTTATGGAACAGTTTTCATGATGTTCCAGTAGATGTGATTGAACATCAAATGGCCGCACTCCAGGTAGCAGACTTTGAGAGCAAATTCTGGGAAGATCTCAGAGTCTCACAGCAAAGTGATGACTACTTAAGGAATATAAGGAAGGAGATAGTGGTAGGTAAGGCCCCAAATTTTACCATCTCTGAGGACACAGTGATGAAGTATAAAGGTAGAGTTTGTGTACCTAATGATCCAAGATTGAGGAATATCCTTTTAGAAGAAGCTCATAGGAGCAAATATACAATTCATCCCGGTATAACTAAAATGTACCATGATTTGAAGCGAGGTTGGTGGTGGCCAGGAATGAAGAAAGATGTAACTGAATTTGTTTCTAGATGTTTAACGTGTCAGAAGATAAAGATAGAACATCAGAAGCCAGCTGGAACACTGCAACCGTTAGATATTCCAAAGTGGAAATGGGATGATATTTCTATGGATTTCATCACTGGACTGCCAAGAACACCCTCGAGTAAGGATGCTATTTGGGTGATAGTAGACCGACTCACCAAATCAGCTCACTTTTTGGCGATCAAGTTTACCTCTACATTAGAGAAATTTGCTGAGATATACATTAAGGAGATAGTTAGACTTCATGGTATACCCTCTAGAATTGTGTCAGATCGTGACCCAAGGTTCACTTCAAACTTTTGGGGTGCGCTACAGAAGGCTATGGGTACCAGACTGAGTTTTAGCACCGCATACCACCCCCAAACAGATGGACAAACAGAGAGGACGATCCAGACTTTGGAGGACATGTTGAGAGCTTGTGCCATTGAACTACCAGGTAGTTGGGATAATCATTTGCCATTAGCTGAATTTGCTTATAATAACAGCTATCATTCTAGTATTGGGATGGCGCCTTATGAGGCCTTGTATGGAAGGAAGTGTAGATCGCCTTTATGTTGGACAGAATTAAGTGAGAGGAGTATCATTGGTCCAGAAATTGTAGAGCAAACCACCCAGAAGATTGCAATGATTAAGCAAAAATTGCTAACCGCTCAGAGCCGACAGAAGAGCTATGCTGATAAGAGGAGACGGCCGTTAGAGTTTGAAGTAGGAGATCATGTATTTTTGAAGGTTTCTCCAGTGACAGGCATTGGTAGATCCATTAAGGCAAAGAAATTGACACCTAGATTTATGGGCCCGTATGAGATCTTGGAGCGAATTGGATCTACTGCATATAGAGTTGCATTACCTCCACAGATTGCAGGTATCCATAATGTGTTCCACGTATCACAGTTGAAGAAGTACAACCCGGATCCCTCCCATGTTATTGAACCTGAAGAAGTAGAATTGAGGGAGAATTTGACCTTTAGATCCGAACCGGAGCGAATTGAGGACTTTAAGGACAAACAACTACGCAATAAGACCATCCGACTCGTGAAGGTGATTTGGAAGGGTGGAGCCCTAGGTGATGCTACTTGGGAGACCGAGGAGAGTATGAGGCGAGATTATCCACATTTATTTGCTTAGGTACATAGTTTCTAAGCTTATCTATTAAATTTTGAGGACAAAATTTCTAAAAGGAGGGGAGAATTGTAACATCCTGATTTTTATATAATAAAGAAATTGTGGAATTTAGGTTTTGAGGAAAAAAATGATAATAATAGGAATTTATATTATTTGAGGTTATTTAGAAATAATATTATGATTAGGTATTTAATTATGAATTTAAAAATTTAAATTTAAAACCACATAAGCAATATTTAGTTAAGATATAATACATAAATAATTTTTTTATGTGTGTGTTAAAAAAAAAAAGAGAAGGTAGAAGGAACAAAAAAAAGGGGGGTGGAAGGTTGTTGTTTCTAAGTCCCACATTGGTTAGATGAGGGAAGAGAAGAGGTGCCTTCATGTATAAAAAGGAGGGGGTGTGTGCATTAGGAAGCATGAGAGGCTAAGATGCAATTTAGAAAAATTGCAACTTTGGGCCCAAAGGTTTGAATAATTAAATTCAAACCTATAGTTTTTTTTAATATAATTTTGGGACTCACAATCCATTTTTATATTATTTTTCTCTCTTCCTCTCACGTTGCTCGGCGTTTTCTCGCAAGGGGGGATTATTTTCTTTTTTCTTCAGGTATGTTCTAACTTTCCTGTTTAGATTAGCATTTAAAAATTTATTTAATTACAAAATTAATTTTATAGTTATTTTTAAATAATATTAGCTTTCTAGTGATATGATTATTTTGTAGGATAGAGTAAATATTTTGATTAGGATTTTTCTATAGGATAGTTAATCTGATGATATGATGGATTAAAAATATAGGTTAAAACTCTTAGGGATATAATAAATATTATAGAATATTTTCTTGAGGTTGAAACTCATGTTTAAGAATTTTTGAGTTAAAATCTAGATCTATATGGTTGAATTTATGTGGAATCTGAGATGTAGGGATAAACCTATGATTATTAAATATTTATTTAAGTATGAATAGGTATTTTTGAGGTTATAGAAAGGTGATTTGAGGCTTCAGGATAATTTTAAAATTTAATTTATTTTTGGACAAATTTTTAGAATATAGAAGGATGAAATTGTGATACTAGAAGTGATTTGAGGATAAAAAAAAAGTTTATTAGGGTACGAGAATTTTAGAAAAGAATTTAGGAAGTTAAATGAGGCATAAATCTTAAATTAGTGTTAATATGGATTATAGATCTAAGACTTTCTAACTATTTAAATTAGAGTTATTTATTTTAATGTAAAATTAATATATAGTATTGTGAAATAATTATGTAGATTATATTGACAAAGATAGTGGTGAAAAAGGAGTTGTGAAGGGGAACTTGTTATTCAAGACACAAGGTAACCATTATTAATGTGTTGTGATGAGTGTGTTTGTGAATGGTTAGGTGTTGTTTTGTTGTTTGGAAAAATTATGAATTATTGAAAATAAATACTGTATATACTTGTTTGAAATTATTGCCAAGTGGGTTAAAAATTTATTTTTGTTTATCATGATGAGATATTATTGTTCAGATATATTTCTGTTTGGATATTTGAATGATGCATGACTTGTCAGGGTATTTTAATGTATGGTGTTAATGGGAATTTCTGTTCGGTTAATTATTACCACGTGGTAAGCCCTCATTGGACCCAATGAGTGGCGTGTCGCTTGGTCCAACTCACCTTTGGCCGGGTGATTTGGCGTCCGAGCATGGTGAAAGGAGGATATAAGGTGCAGTCATGCAATTAAATACTTGTTCGGTTTGTTTGAAAATATTGTTCGATTAAATATTTTGTGTGCCCACTTAGCAATCGCATGATTAGTTACATCCGCATGCATCATTACATATTAATTTTTGGTTACTGGGACTTTTAAGTCTCATTCCCCGTGGTTAACATTTTTACAGGAGCGAGTCCGGCCGAGAAAGCACCAGAGGTGTAACTATGGTGTATGAAACACCATCTTTTACGTTGCCTCTTATTTTGGATTATACAATGTATCTTGTGCCAACTTAGGACATATCTTCTTTGTGAAGCATGTAAACTCTAATCCTTTTTATTAAAAGTATTTATTTGACCAAGAGGATTATGTTTGTCTCTCTTGATTCATGATCTAATTTAAATATCATGCCATGAGGATCCTAACTGTCCCTCATGGTTCTAATTGCTTTTTTTGAAATATTTTAAGACCTGTGGTATATTATCTTGGATGTATCATGGTAAGAAAATTTTCTACCATGATAATGGTTTTAATAATTTACGAAAAATCAGTTTGTATTTTGAGGGTGTTACAGTTAACACCATCTTTTAATATTTAACTTAATTTAATAGAATGTTTTGCTTTAAAATAAATATAAAGTAATTTATTTATTGGAGGTACTTAAAAAAACATATTAATTATATCATGAAATAGTAAAAATATTTTACATTTTTTAATATATATAACTTCTCAAAAAATATCTTACATTTTTAATGAAGGGAGGAGATTACATTCATTAATATGATAACTGATAAATTAACAGTAAGAGATTATTTATGCAAATTAAAAAAGAGTTTCTTATTAATTTTAAATGTTAAAATAGTTCTTTTCACCTGAGAATATAAATACCTCGTCAATATTATTTTTAAAATTAATCATTTAGAATATTTAATTTAAATTATTATTATTTTACATAAAGTAATATATGTCTCACATAATGCATAAAATATAAATAACATATCATGTTATATTCATTCTTCGTTTTTTTTCTGCCAGCCACTCTTCGTGCATAATAACGTTTGCTGGGAGTTATATATTATTTTTAGATATGTAAATTATAAAAATATATCATATAATTATCAATTTCAACAGCATGCATATAAAATTTAAAATAAGCCTCATTATTTATAAATTATAAATTAGATATTTAAACTCGTTCAACGACATCAATTCTGTTGAATGTTGATTTATGCCTGTTACCCTATCAACCCTTTCGATGCTCCTGCAATTAAATTATCAACATGTGTTGCGAACTCTGAAGGTCTGATGAGAATATGCCTGTGAAAAGGTTAGAAGATTTTATGGGGAAAAAAAGGGTTAGAAGATGAAAATCTCACTTATATGATCTCTAAAATTTAAGAAGGGGGTTACTTTTTTTATTTCACTCGTACATTTTTTTGTTGGAAACAATCTTACTCAAAACATGGCATTGACTATAAATAACTTCCCCAACAAAATTCAAACCTTATTCAGTAGGTTATAAGAAACCAACTCATTTTATTAGACCCAACATTAGTTAGTAGAAGAGATTACTTTTACTATTATCAAAAAAGGATAATATAATTTTTAGTCTCTAAAATTTATTCAATTATTGATTTGGCCCTCCAAATTTAATTTTTATTAACTGAATCTCTTAAATTTACATCAATTGTCAATTTGATCCCTATTATTTTACAAAGAGGAAGAGCTATTAAAATTTGTTGTCATGAATAACAGCGTATTCATGATAATCGTGTAGATTAATAGAAAAAAGTGTAATTATTTAGTTAGGAAAAAAAAACTCTAAAATTTTTAAAAAAACAAGAAAATAAAACATAATACAAGGGATTATATTGATAAAAACCAAACTCTTTAAATGACTGAAAGTTCTATTATCCTTGTCTAAAATATACCTTTAAGTTTTACACACACCCCTATGTATGGTGAGATAGGGATTATTATTTGGGGTTGAGGTCTAATTTTTTTCTGTACACTTTTTTTTCTATGAGTGTTGAGCACCTTGTACTTTTAAGAAGGCAAATTTCTCCTTGAATTATTTTTTAAGGGAGTAAAAATTCCCTTCTTTTAATTTGCCATTTAGTCTCCCATTATTTAGTGACTTGTCATTGTGCGGGGCCTAGGAAAAACTGACTTGGCTTTCAATTTGTGAAGACTAACATTTTGACCATTTGAGTTGGCATCTTATTTAGCTAGGTCAAGGATTTTGATTGAATCCCTTGCAAACGAGCAAGTAAACCTAAGGTCTTGCATCTTTATTAGTGTTGAGTGAAATGCAAATCTAGAAACCTAGAAATCACAAACCTAGAAACTAGACAAAAAACCCAAAAATGCAAACTAGTCACAGACTTAGAAACCACTAAGAAGCCCAGAATTGCAAATCAACCACAAACCCGTAAAACTATATGAGAAAATGAATCATGGAAGAATCAACTCATTCACAAATCCAAAAACCCAAACTTCACTAGCAATTAGCACCTGATTCAACATAAATTTAAAAAAAAATACAAGAATATGATGAACCCATACCAAATCATAGTGTATCAACCCATACCAAACCTAAATTATAATCCACAATCTCACTTGCTCAAGTGTGCCTTCTCACCCATCATCAAAATTGAATCACGTTCCTCATCACCATCGCTTGAAGTAAAACTACTTAGAAAATATTGAGCATCCCTATCATCTCCTCGTAGACTAAGCTACTGATTCTCTTGATGCCTCCTTTTCTAGCCAATCTTCAAATTGCAAGCTTTGTGATGCCTTGGATGTTATTGTGGAGGACTTTGTGATGCCTCTTTGCTTCTCCCTCACCCATACCCTTGCCTCCTTTTCCATGACCAGACATTTTTCTCAAAAAATTTCTCAATAAATTGATGAAAGTAGAAAGATTGATTTGGGAATGTAGGGTTTACAACCATTTTTGGGTGAAATTTTTTTTCCTTGTTTCTTTGTCAAGTGTCAGGGTTTAGTCTTTCAAACTTCAAAGCTCAGATGATGAGAGAGAGAAGGAGAGAAGGGGGGGAAGTAGTGTGGGTGTGTTGCTAAGTTAGATGGTTAAAATGTCAGCCTTCATATGTTGGAAGCCAAGTCACATTTTTTTGGGCTCCAGGCAATGTCAAGTCACTAAATAATGAGAAAATAAATGATCAATTGATAAAAAGAGATTTTTGCTTCGTTAAAAAATAATTTAAGAAGAAGCTTGCCTCATCTAAGAGTATAAGGCGCTCATCACTTTAGAAAAAAAAATACAAGAATAAAATTGAATATTAATCCTTTTTTTCTGTGTAGGTATCACCGAAATCATTTAAAAAAAAAACAAACTATAAAACCAAACAAATCAGGGTATCATGTACGTTACATTAATGCATAGTTTACGCGTCATTATTCCCAGTTTGATATGGAAATTTATTACAAGCAACATACATGATTCGAATGTTAAAATTTGCAACTGCATATGTACTTGTTTAAATTTAAATTAATATTTGCAACCATGTTTCAATAAAATTGAATAATGAACATCTTTATTTTATGTCTAATTATAGATAAATATGTTTATGATTTAATTATGATTTAATTATAAGTAAGTCTGTTCTCGTGCATACACGGGTGTAAATGGATTCCAGAATATACGTACATATATGTGTGTGTGTGTGTGTGTGTGTGGTAATAGCACTCCAGAATATTTTTATTAAGTATATTGTTAACCATAAAAATATAGTTATGTAAATTATTTTATAATCATTATTAATGAAATTAATAAAAAATTCCATTTTAATTTTTAAAAATAAAACTTTTTTTTCAACAATTTTCTTATCATTTAAATATTTTTTAAATTACTAATTAAAATTTTTGTAGTATTTAGTATCCAGTCCTTCAAAATAATTTATTCAAACCATGGCACCAATATTTGGATTTTTGTATCTTTAAAACCAAGTTATTTATCAATTCAATTCATTGTTTTAGTAATTGGGGACGGAAAAAAAAAAAAGTTATCCCAATTAGCTTGTGCAGTTTGCATAGAACTTCTATGAACTTGTGAAGCAAGAAAAAAAATTTGAATTCATTTACCAGCATAGATAGAATAAAAAGAGAGTAAAGACACAAACCCTTGCTTCTTTTTCTTGATATTGCCATCATCCGCACATGAAATATATATATATATATATATATATATCATACTTTTTTCTATATATAAAAAAAAGACAATAAATTATAACTTTGCAAGACTATTAAAAAAGTATAACTTAAAAAAGCATAAAATTCTCAATAACCTTATATATATTGCTTCTTTTTCTTGATATTGCCATCATCCGCACATGAAATATATATTGCACTTGAGAAGAGCCAATTTCGGGACAAACGCATGAAATTGTTACGAAATAATCAATTGACAAAGGATGCAATCTGATTCTTGAGTGTATATATAGACATTATACTTGCAAACCTATCATAATCATATATAAATCAAAGGACAATATCTCTATAACATCTTAAGTATTATATATCAAAACAAAAGGACAAACCCCACAATCTCATAAAACATTGTTGGAATAATTATAGCATCTCCTTTTCATTGTTGATGTTGATAATACAGGCCAGAATTGTAATCTAGTATTTATGGTCCAAGTAAAAATATGAAGATGTAATCGAAATTTATGCTTGATCCATCAAGCAAAGAAGGAAACTATAGCCCATAACTTTCTACCTCTACAGAAAATTATGTCTTATCCATAAATATATGTTATGTACTATTGTTGTTACTTACAACTCTAAGTTATCAAGTTCATTATAGTAAACATCATATCTATGTGAAAAAGGTAATTTCTAAGGGTCCCAAAAATGTTTTTTTCCCCCAATGATAACTAATTCCTCTTCATCAAAAGCTCATGTTGATTTAGTAAATGTTCTAGAAACTATTATTCATAGTTATAGAAAGTACTTGGTACCTAAAAAACAACCACAAAATCATAGCATATGTTGAATTTTGTAGCAAGAATAAGCTTTCATCTTACCTCCAAAAACACAAATCCACACAAAAAAACATGAAACCTAAATATGTAGCAAAGCTTTTGAAGACAATAATGCAAACTTAACTTCACAGTTTTTAATGATCAATCATCAAATAATGTGATTATTCAACAAAACATAGAGAGAATGCCTATTATTCAAATCGTTAATGGACAACGACCTACATTGAAACCATTACCAATAAGATTGTTCAATCATCCTTCACCTCCATCTTGTATCTTCTAAATTTGAATTACTAGTCTCCTAAAAAGGGATAATTTTTGTAGAAATTAAAAAAAACGTAATAAAACATAAATCACAAAGTTTAAAGACAAATTTTGGTAAGTAAACAGGCTATTGATAATAAAGCATGAAAATTTGCTCTTTTTTTTTTAATTAGATCAAACCATCTGACATACCTTTTTGAAAATTAATATGAGATTGAGAAGGAATAGACTCAAGAACTTGTGGCAAAGGAAAATAATTGGTTCAATGAAAAGTGCAAGAATGTACAATCATCACTACTACCGAGCAAACTCATTGATGTTACTCCTCAAGTATAGAACAGTTTGTAGGCATCTAATTAGAAGATAAGATCAAACAAATAACAAAAAGAAAAGCTTAATGATGATAAATCATAACAATTTTGTCTATTACGACCTATAAAGACATCGTAGGTATCTATCCCAGAACTGATAAGCATTGTTCTATTTGTTTTAGTAGAAAATCCACACACCAAAATCTCATTAAGTATTAAGCATTTTGTTCTCATGCGTTAATCTACCCCAGTGCATATTAAAAGAGAAAGTGAACAATGAAGTGAATAAACTCCAATCACTCATATCTGTGCTTTATTAGTTTATTAGTGTCTATAACAGGGAATTTATCCTCTAAAATGGTGCATCGAGTTGCCTTACCAAGAGATGCTCACTCCAAGAGCGGTTTTGGATTGAACCTAGACGCATATGAAAGGAAGAAGGAAAGAGTCGGAGAGCTACAGTAAAAATGAAGTTACAATGATAGGAAGAAAATTATGACTTATGATACAGTGCAACAGGTGAAAAATAGAATGCTGAATAGAAACTCTAAACAATCACGAACCTACATGTATGTAATGGCTAATGGCATGATAATCGGCCATGAATGTTGAGGTTGAGATGTTATGGTTTTAAAAAACTACCTCTTATTGGAAACGGTAAGCATGAGTGGTTTGTAAGTGTTTCCACTTTTAAATCTAATCATCTTTAAAAGTTAGTTTATTTTTTAAAAAAGAAACACGTGTCATCCATAAACTTGCGACTATACTTTTATCTTGGGGGAGTGTATAATTAAAATATGCACAAATTGATATTAATAAATACATGTAATTCCCATTAAATGAATTGGTGTATTTTTTATTCACTCAGTTTGAATTCTAATATAATTCACGAAAATTATTTCATTCATGATTAAAATTTTAAATGTAAAAATTGGAATTTAAAATCTAAATTATAGAAATTCAAACTTAGATCATGGATAATAGCGTTAGGAAGTTACAAATTTTTAAATTTTAAAATATAAATAATATATCTTTTCAATCATTATCTAAATAAAAGTAAAGTTAAAGGCTACAAGAAAATACCACTTATCCATTTTTTAGTTGCCATAATTCTATCCTTCAAGATGCTTTTCTTGTAATTATGTGCTCCGAAATCAGGTTTGAAATTAGATTCATAATGGTTTATTGTTTTTTATGTATATAAAATATATTATTCAGGTTGCGAGTTAGGTGTGAGATGAATTATTAATTGTTAGATGTATACAAAAATTATGTTTTATCAATTTAAAATTCAAATCTGATCATATTTAAATTTAAATTAATATCTATCTATTTAAAGTTTCCATCCATCCTAAATATATGCCGAAAATTATTATTTTATATTTTTCATACAATTCTAAAATTATATTTTATTAAAAGTCATTTTCCATGTATGTAGAAGATATTTTCTAAAATATCTACCTGTTTGAATTGAAATTAATACACACACATACACACACACAAAAGAATATGATTTTAAAATTTTTTATCTATCCTAGTAATTTCGTAAAATTAAGCTTTAAATATGCATATTATTTTTAAAATCCTCCTCAAAATCTATTTGACATTTATTTTTCTTTAGCTAGATCTATTTGTTTCGATTGCAAATATGTTAAAAAGGAATAGAATTAAAAAAATATTAAAGATGAGCATATTATATATTTAGTTAAATTATTCCTGTTAAATAAATTTCTTTAATTTAAAAAATCTGCTTATAAAAATTAATATCTATTTCATAATAAATTATAAATGTATCGGTTAGAATTAAAGATTTTGGGTCCATTTATTTGAAATTCAAATCAACTTTTTAAAAATTTAATGTTAAACATGTTAATAAAAAATGAAGGTGGACAAAAAATAAAATGAATGAATTATAAGAATGGTCTATTAGCTCTAGATATGTTTTCCTTATGTTATTTTTTTTTGGTATAACGTTCATTTTTAGTTCTTTGAATTTTTTTCTCTATTTTTTTTGCTGTAGTGAAAAAAATATTTTAATATAAATGTTTTGATCAACAATTAAGGTGTGAAAAAAAAAATTTAAGATGACCAAATTTTAAAAATGACCTATTAGCTCTTGATATATTTTTCTTCTACTATATTTTTGGTAATATTATATTTTTTTTGAAGTATATAATCTAAATACAAAAAATATTTTTGATCATATTATTCTATGATTATATAATTAGATAATAGATAATAAGAAATATACTTATTTGTAAAGAAAATTATTATAAAATATATTCAAATTTAAATTATATTGAGATTACAAATTGATGGCTTGAATTTCAATTTCAATTTATATACGTTAATATTAATGATTGTCCTTGCTTCAACTGTCAATGAATTATTTTGTTTGGATTTTAATTTAATTTAAATTTTATTTGATTAATAGTTCAAATTTAAATTCTCTCTAACACTAATCTTAATACTAATTATAAATAGAACCAACTGGATACATGTTCATTCATTGATTTTGATTTTTGTTGTTGTATTTTATTTCTTTTGAGATTATTGTATATTTAAATGCCTTATCATTATTTTTTTGTCTCTTCAATAATCTGTATGAGAATTAATTATTTTTTATTTTGTTAGTTTGGGTTATTCATTTTATTGATATTTGTTTCATTTTGTTGTAGGAATAATTTATATATTCTTGCAAGGTATGATTAGCATATCATGGTTCGAGTAATTCATCTTTGAATTATGCTTGAGTGATTCTCATCAAACAATTCAACAATTTAATAAATATTAATATAATATTAACTATTTAAATATCTAAACTCTGTAATTAATTAGTGGGTGGTGATTTTGAACTTTTATTTCAATGGGTAAGGAATAAAACAATAAAAAAAGGAATTATGTTATTATTCAAGGAAAAATCTTTAGGTTTCAATTCTAAATATATCTAATAATTAAATTAAATTGACAATTTAAATTTAAAATTTCTTTCAATGTAGGTTATCACTTCAATTCACGATTTCTAACTTTGATTAATAATATTGTTCACAAGTTTATTGTGCAGGTAAGTTTATCATAATTATCTTTTAATATCATCATGTATTTTCATAGTTAATGTTTATGTAATCTTTCATTCATTCGCATCAAGTCTACCTTAATGTTTTTTCTTTCATTGGTTTTTACTTTGCAAAGGAAAATGAGAAATTCATGATCAAATAATAGTTATAGTCGCGTAATATCTTGAACTTCTACCAAGGGTGGTGTCCAGGGGATAGAGGAGGGAGAAAGTAAAAGAAGAAAATGATGGGCCCACTTTTGCAAAGTGACAGCGTTAATTTGAATTCAGCAATTGGGGTGTGATTGTCACATATTTAATTATTCAAAATTTAAAATATATTAAATATGATTTTAGAATTTAAATTACATTTAAATTTATAATTTACAATTCAAATTATATGTTATATCATTTTAAAATTACAAATTAAATATTACATAGAGTTAAAAGGCTATTAGAATGATAAAATAATAATAAAAAAAGAAGATCATGAATTAAAAATTTATTAGATCATGAAATTAAGAAGTCATCAAAATGAAAGAATAAAAGTAAACTATATTTATAAATTAAAAATTATTATAAATAAAATTTTAAATTAAAATATTTAAAAAAATGACATTTATTATTTATATATGTGTGTGTTTATTATTCCTCAATTATATACATATAGATGAATAGATTAATCTATCATATTATAAAAAATAGTCAATTATAAATACAAATTTTTGGTAAAAAAAAAAAATAAAATCAATCAACCATATAAGTCAATTTTATCCCAATCTAAGATAATCTTATCAAATCCTAACCCTAACACAATAAGAAGAATCAAACACTGCCGGTTACGGCAGCAAGAATAAATTCTGCGCGGCGTCGGCAGTGGACGAAGTTAAAGTAACTAAGGGGCCAATTTCTGACCAGCGAATCAACGGCGGCGACCGATCTTCCGGTAGCTGTGCACGCAACTCATGGCAAAACTCTAATAGCTTTTTTTCAATTCCGAAGGCCAAAGAAAACGAGACTCTGACGCCTGGTTTCATCATCGTCCGCTTTCGAGTGCAGAGTCGCGTACGATGAGAGGAAATAATCATGGGAATTATAAGAACCCATGTTTGACGATGCATCAACCCTGGGCGTCTATGCTCGTTTACGGGATCAAGCGCGTTGAGGGCCGGTCATGGCCTGCTCCCATCAGAGGTATTTGGTAGCAAATTCCGTCCTCTTTTTTACCCAGCTATGCGCCTACTCCCTGCTATGTACTTCTATGTTTGCCCGCTTCTTTATGTTTCTAATACGGACCCGGACTCCGGATTTTACTAATATTAAAAACTTCTGCCCTTACATGCCTGTCTCACTGACCAGTCTATCAAAACCTTCTGGATTTTACTAATATTAAAACCTTCTGCCCTTTATGTTTCTATCATTATCAGTGACGGCTAAATAAGCCCAAGCCTTTTTAGCTCGTGAAGCTTTTAGGCAGGATTGAAATTTGAAACCATAACCTTTATGTTGTATAGGTTCTGAAAATGCTGGAGATGCTTCCTCATAGAATAGTGCGTGGAGAGCCTTTTTTCTTTCCATCTTTTTTGGCTCTCTCTCTGATAAGAAAACATATGCAGCATGCTATCTCACCTATCGCACAAGCGTTTTTGATGGTTCATCAGAGTAGAACTGCTATTCTCACGGTATGGGTAGTATATTGGAACAAGTCTAGCTGAAGGGAGAGTCTAAGAACGTCAATTAAAGGCGCTCAGGCAAGGCGCCGTGCACTTCTTGAGCCTCTGACCTCGGGGGAGGAATTGCCTTCACTAAGGAGCCAAAAGGCGCACAAGGTGAGTGCCTCTTTGCGCCTTACTGCCTGTTTGGTTTGCCCAAATAATCGGTTATTGGGAACAAACCTTGGTTTGAAGAAAATTTACCCAAACAGCCAAATATTAATTAGGGGTGTTCATAGGTTCGGTTCGGTTTGGTTTTGGGCAAAAACCAAACCGAACCGAACCATTCGGTTTACTGATAATTGAGACCTGATCGATTTTTATGAAGTTCGGTTTGGTTCGGTTTTATTTTCGGTTTGGTTCGGTTTGGTTAAGGTCTTGATCAAGTTTTAATGCACTTATTTAATTTTTTTTCCTTTTCTCTATCTTCATAATGGTGCTATGTACTAAAATTAAATTTAATTCTTTTTGACTCCTTTTTTTCATAAATAGAGGTATAAAAATATAATAAAATTTCAATGTGATAACAATAATTAATCATAAAAATTGGTATAAGTTTTTAAGATTAAAATTATTTAATATTATGTATTTTCATTAAAATCCTTTGAAAATATTTATCTATGTATCTATATTTTAATAAATAATGAAAAACTTATTATACAAAATTCAAAACAAAATTTTTCTTGTAGATAAATTGAATGCTGAGACTTTTAGGTTGTAAATAATTAAATGATGATCATAGCATGATTATTATAATCACTTAATATTATGCATTTTCATTCAAGTATTTTAAAAATGTTTATTTATTACTATAAAAAATTTAAAACAAAATGCTTCTTATAGATAAATGGTTATATATTTTACAAATAAATAAATAGAATTTTTTTAATCAAGTTTGGTTCGGTTTGGTTCGGTTTCTTGTACTCAAAACCGAACTTGAACCGAACCAATCGATTTTTATATCATAAAAACCGAAGCGGACCTAATTGTTGTTCGGTTTTGATCGGTTTTTATCGGTTTGGATTGGTTTGGATCGGCCCTTTCGGTTTGGATTGATTTTGAACACCCTTAATATTAATGTTGGGAGGCATCCCAGGTCTATAAATTAGAAAACTCACCCATAATACTCCGGCCAAGCTTTTATGACATGGTTAAATGGTAAATCTCACTTTAAGACATTATTTAAGCTATCGCTTGCCCTTCATGTTTTGTCCGAAGCCCCGTGTTCTGTCCTACACTAGGCAGCTGAAAAAAGTAAACAATATGACAACACGAGGATCATTTCAAATTACACTTATATATATTTTGTTTATATTATCATATTGTTTCTTACTTTAGCACCTTGATATACTCTAACGAGCGCCTTTCTACCACCTCTTACACAAGGTGTTTGACAAGTCTAGCATTTCGAGAGTGCCTTTCATCTTTGGCTATCAATGTGAGGGTATCTCTAATAATGCTGTTATTTTCTACATCTATCAATTGTAAGATGATTTTAGTAACCAGTTAGTTTTTGGTGCTTTCTTTCTCATTTGTGGTGGCAAAATCATTCCACTTGGTTAAGTTGAGAAATAAATAAAGGGTTTAGCTACACGGCAGGGTGGAAGAAATGGTGGTATCTTCTCCAAAATGCTGATAATCGTGTACTAGTTTCTATCTTGGAAACCAAAGTTTCATTTTAAAACAATAATAAAAGCACACTGGTCCATAAAGCCTACATAAATTCTTGGGAGAAATATTTTTTTAGCACAACAACTTAAAAATGTAACTAACCATACCCCTATTTGGAAAGAACTAAAAAGTTAACTCACAATCTTATATTCTCATTTAAGGTGGGTATTTAGTGTTATTTTGAAAAGACATAGGATATTTTGTACATTTTAAAGTTGATGAACTAAAGTTTTTATGAAGCTTGAGTCCAAAATTCTACACAGTATGCGCTATTGGCATCTGTTAAGTTAGCAAGTAAACAGACATAAGGCATAAGTTTTGAAAGTCAATAGCCATCAAATTTCTTTATTCTTTCTTCATACTGCAAAAAACTTATTAGATGCTTGTGACTGATATGAAAGAATAAAGACATGTTATTTAGGTAGTTAGTATCTGATAAAGGGTAGTTAAGTCATTTGTATATTTTGATTTGACTATTCTAACTATTCTAAGGTTATTATACCTGAATCCTATAAATAGTAGGGTCCCTCTCAATTATAATAAGCCTGATGATGATAATGAAGTGTATTATTCATATCAACTCCTGATTCTCTCTCAATTCCCTCTATTTCTTCCTCTTTCTTTTTGAATTCTCCTTCTTTCCTCTTCAAGTCTATCCCATCTCTCTTCACTAATCTACCTCTTCTTCCATTTTCATATTAGTGGTACTAGAGCTTTCGTTCCTTGGCCATTCTCTTCTCTCTCTCTCTCTCTCTCTCTCTTCATTCTAATGGTGTATGGTAAAGACGCGTAATCAAACTCAACAAGAATTAGAGGAAAAATTGCACCAGCTTGAGCAAAGATATACCAAACTAGATACCATTGACATGCTCAGTGATCAAGTGACAAGTCTTTCCAACCAGATTCAACTCTTGATATGCGATCGAGAGGAAGAATCTGATAACTTGGGCCGTTGTAATAGGAACGGCAGAAATGTTCACCATTGTCATTGAGAAGAAGATGCGAGACACAGGGAAGAGCATTGATGACCTACCTAGTTCACAAAAATGGAATTCCCCAAGTTCTCTCGGTCTGATGTGCTGGGTTGGATCATGAGATGTGAGAGATATTTTGAACTTGATGATACGCTAGAAAATGAAAAGGTGAAGACGGCGTTGATGTGCGTGGATGAAAAGGCTTGGTCTTAGTATAGCATTAGAGAAGACTTGGTTTGGTGTCACGCCAACCTAGAAAGAGTACGTTTTTGTCCTTAAAGAAAGATTTGGACCCACCTATGAGATGCCAATGGGCGATTTGATGTGTTTAAGGTAAAAGGGTCTTTTGGCTGAATTCAACGATGCTTTTGACTCTTTTGCTTGTGAGCTTGATCTTTCACAAGAGTACCTCATCAAAGCATACATGGAAGGATTGATGGAAGATTATCTGAGTCCTGTGAGGTTGTTTAAATTGAGAACTCTCTAAGAGGCGTTCTCGTTGGCTCATACGTAAGAGGTCACTCTGCAACGATGAGTTGAGAAGAAGACGAGTGGCAAGAACAGTGCACAAGTGTCTTCACCTTCGATTGCCTCATCGCAAGCCTTGCACAATACTTGGGCACCTTACAAAAATGCCCTCTTAAATGGTGGGACCTGACAAAAAGGGAAGATGACATTTGTGCCCTAAAAATCATCTTTTTCTTCCTTTAAAAGCAGTAGTAATCCCCTTAAAATTCTATCTACGAATGATGAGGTAGAAAACAGAAGCAAAAACCCATGTTTTAACTGCCATGAGAAGTTGTTGCGTGATCACAAGTGTCTACAAAGGCAAAAGATGCAATTGCACTTCATTGATTTGCTAGAAAACCAAGAAGACCACCCGGTCACAGAATTTGAAAATGATGAGGTGATAGAGGAAGAAACACCCTTAATTTCACTCTATGCCATCGAAGGAGTTAAAGGGGCTTTATCAATATGAGTTGTAAAGCACTGTGGCAAGAGGTAGATCTAGATTTTGATAGATAATGGAAGCATCCGTAATTTCTTGGATTTGGAATTGGCTAAGAAACTTGGCCAACTATGACAACCCAAGAATTCTTGATCTCAAAACTTATGACATGGTTTTAGGTCTAAATTGGTTAAAAAGCATCAAAAATGCCTTTTGGAATTATGAGACTCTCACAATGTATTTTTGCCAAGGAGACCAACTATGCAAGCTACAAGCCACACACCTAACTCATAGATGATGGTGCAGCCCAAGAGAATTGAAAGAAAAGAGGGAAAGGATGAACAAAGGTTTCTATTACAGTTGTTGAAATCTACAAAAGAAGAAGCCAATTGTTTTGTTGTTTCAGGGGTATTAGAAGAGCTGCCCACAGAAATTCAGCAAGTTCTAAGGGCTTTTCCTGATGTTTTTGAAGAACTGAAATGGTTGCCACCCATGCGAGAAGGCCATAACCATGTTGTAGTCCTTCAAAAGGGGACTGACCCTATTAGTTTAAAGCCCTATTGCTATCCTTCTACTCAAAAGGATGTGATTGAGAAGTTAGTGGGAGAACTTTTGAAATCTGGAGTTATTCAAGAGAGTTCCTCTCCTTTTTCAGCTCCAATTCTGCTAGTGAAGAAGAAGGATGATTCATGGAGAATCTGTATTGATTACAAATAGCTAAACAAAAGGACAATAAAAAATCAGTACCTTATCCCTCTTGTGGAGGACTTATTTGATGAACTAAGTGCTGTAAGGTGGTTTACAAAGTTAGATTTAAGAGTGGGATATCATCAAATTCACACGGTGCTTGAAGATGCCTATGAAACAGCATTCAAAACACGTTTTGGGCACTATGAGTGGCTGGTTATGCCATTTGGTTTGACTAATGTCTCAACCACTTTTTCGGGATCAATGAATTCTATCTTTAGATCTTTTTTAAGAAAGGTTGTTGTTTTCTTCGATGATATCCTAGTATATTCCTCCTCTCTTATAGATCACATGGAGCATTTAACAAAGGTGCTGGAAAATCTTAAGGAAAAATCAATATTATGTTAAAAAGGGGAAGTGTACTTTTGTAGCAACTAGTGTTGAGTACTTAGGTTATATTTTGGGAAATGGGACTGTTTCTACTAACCCTAAGAAGGTGGTGGCAGTCCTTGAATGGCCAGAACTAGCCAACATCAAGCAATTAAGAGCCTTCCTTGGCCTAGCAAGATATTATGGGCGATTTATCTAGCATTATGGAGAGATTACTAGACCTCTCACTAATTTATTTAAGAAGCAGGGATTTATTTGGTCCGATACATTAAGAAAAGCTTTCACAAGATTAAAGAAAGTATTGGTTTCAGCCCATGCTTGCTTTGCCATATTTTAATAAAGTTTTTTATGTTGAAACAGTTGCATTTGGCTTTGGGCCAACCTATTGCTTTCTTTAGCAAGGCAATGGCTTTACGACCTTTGAAGCTGTCTGTTTATGAAAAGGACCTGATGGCAGTCGTTCAGGCAGTTGAATATTGGCATCGGTATTTGGAGAGGAAGAAATTTATCATCAGAACTGATCAACAAAGTCTGAAGTATTTATTGTGGCAGAAGTTAAGGACTGCTTTTCTGATGTATAAAATAGTTTGTTTAATGGGCTATGAGTATGAGATTTTTTACAAAAAGGGAAATGAAAATGCTGTGGCAGATGCACTGTCAAGATTACATGGGCTTCAGTTGTTACAAATGGCACTTGATACCACTTCTCCCAAGTTGCTTCATAAAATTGGGGAGAGTTGGGATGCTAATGTAGATTTGAAGGCCATAATTGCTGAACTACAGAGAAAAGGAGGAAATATTGCCAAATATGTGTGGCATGGACAGCTTTTAAGAAGAAAAGGAAAGCTGGTTATTGGTGATGTTGCAGCTGTTAGGTAAGAAATCCTTGAATGGTTACATGCTAGTTCATAAGGAGGCCACTTCGAGGTGCATGCCACTTATCAAAGGGTTACAAGGTTGTTATGGTGGAAGGGGATGCTTAAAGATATACAAGACTTTGTGAGAGGGTGCGATACTTGTGCTCATTGCAAGTATGAGACAGCAGCTACCCTTGGTTTGTTGCAACCATTACCCATTCTTAATAGAGTTTGGGAGAGCATAGCAATGAATTTCAAAGAAGGATTGCCTAGATCTAGGGGTAAAGAGGTAACATGTGTAATTGTGGATAGAATGAGCAAGTATGCTCACTTTTTGGCTCTTTCCCATCCTTTTTCAATAGCAACCTTGAGTTAGCTTTTTTGGACTATGTTTACAAATTGCGTGGGGCTCTTAATGAGATTGTTAGTGATAGAGATCTAATTTTTATCAATCATTTCTAGGAGGAATTTTAAAGGTGATTAAGGTTGAGCAGAAGCTTACTTCTTCCTCCCATCATCAAAGTGATGTGCAATCCGAGGTGTTGAATTGTTGTTTGGAAACATACCTTAGACGTATGTGTTGGGAAACTCCTAAGGATTGGAGTAAGTGGTTACCCTTGGCGTAATGGTGGTATAATACAGCTTTTCACACTTCAATCGAGGTAACACCTTATAGTTACTTTATGGGCAGAAACCGCTACTGTACGCTCCATATCTACCTAAAGAAGCTGTGGTTGAAGCTGTAGATAGGAGTTTTGCAGCAAGAGAGCACATGATAAATGTTTTAAAGCATCATCTTAGCAGGGAAGCCAACCGTATGAAGCAAAAAGCTGATTTAAGAAGGTGTAATCATGAATTTGAGGTTGGTCAATGGGTTTTTCTAGAGCTGCAGCCTTACAGGCAGATCTTAGCTGCATCAAGAAGTACTCAAAAATTGGCACTAAGGTATTTGGGCCATATAAAGTGATAGCAATGATAGGAAAGGTTGCTTACAAGTTAGAACTTCCCCCTATATCCAGAATTCACTAAACTTTCCATGGTTCACTGTTAAAATTGTGCCCAGGTCTCTCAGTCAAGCAGAGGCACCCCCTGAAAATTGGCTAGAGGTTCCAGCTGCCCATATTCCAGAAGCAATCTTGAATAAGAGAGTGGGAAGGCATAAGGGAAGTGTTATTACTGAAATTTTAGTACAATGGAAGGGCAAACCTGATAAGGAAGCAAGCTGGATGTCTTTGTTCAGCTTCCAGAAGCAATTTTCAGATTTTCAAGTACCAAACCCTTGTGGACAAGGGCTGTTGGGGGGGGGGGTATTGATATGAGAATAATAAAGACGTGTGTTCTTTAGGTAGTTAGTATCTGATAAAGGGTAGTTAAGCCATTTGTTTATTTTCGTCTGACTATTCTGCCTATTCTAAGGTTGTTCGACTTGAATCCTATAAATACTAGGGTCCCTCTCAATTGTAACTAGCTTGATGATGTTAATGAAGTGCATTATTCAAATTAACTCCTGATTCACTCTCAATTCCCTCTGTTTGTCTCTTTCTTCCTGAATTCTCCTTCTTTCCTCTTCAATTCTATCCTATCTCTTCTCTATTCTACCTCTTCGTCCACTTTCATGTCAGTGACAGTATTGTTTTCTTTCATTTTCTTGTTCTATTGACTGGGACAAAATTCTTGAAATTGGTGAACTGTTTTCCTTTCCATCTACTATTTATTTTGAATTATTTCTGTTGTTAGTTCTATATAAAATGGTTTCTTATTGTATAAAGTCTTGTCTATTAAGGTCGTCTCTGGATTCATGCTGCCAGTAAAGTTCCCGATGAGTCTACTATCAAGGCAATGGAGTGCTTCTACCGGGAGATTTATGCAGTCAATGGAATAACTGATATTAAGTTTCCAGAGCATTATCCAACTTCAAGGCTATTGGGTATACAGAATTTCGTTCTTTTTAATTAAGAGTTTTCCAAAGTATTGTGCGATAACGTTCTCTATATTAACCATTGGTTAACGCTGCTCTTGTTTAAACCAGTTTTGGTCCGGCATTCTACCACTTCTCTTTATCTTGATGTGTTAACTTCTTGAACTTGATCTTTTTTGTTGTTGAATTTGTCCTTAACTTTAGATTCTTTCTTTATGCTGTTTTTTTTTAATCATTTTTTTATCATCAACACAACCTGTGTCAAGATGCACATAATTAAACTAATTTCAGACCAGTTCTCTTCCTTTCTCTTGATATTCAAGCAAGCAAAATTTGTCCTTTTCATTATTGACTTACACTGTAAAGCTTTCTCTTTCTAGTGATGTTTTACAGTACTTTCTTTTTTGGCCAGTGGTTGGCACTGCACATTGGCCCCGCATCTATTTTTTATTTTCCATTCCTTTTACCTGGCTGTCGAACTTCGCATTCTATTCTGTCATTTGATAGGTGTTGTGTAAGGATGGCTTTATGTGAAATGGTTATTCATCCATCATTTTAACTTGGCACAAACTCTATTGCGTCACTGCTGTTTGCCAATGTTTCCCCTCCTTTTGGAGTACATCACATGAATTTTTTCATCCTACAGGTTTCGTTGAGGTTGTTGGCTGCTTAAGACAGGAAGAACTAGCCTGCTGGGAGATGGTCCCTGAAAGTGTAGGAAGCTGATCTATCTTCCCTCTTTTAATTTAAAACTTGAATTGATATCATTTCATGGCTATCCGGACTTGAGTCTTCACTAAATTATGTTCCTTGTGCTCTCAGGTTAGGCTGGAAGCGCAAACTAAGTATTGCTGGTTATGTGAACATCCACAGGTCTGTGTCTTGCAACTGCTATTCAAGTTTTTAACTGTAAGGTGTAACAACTTTATGTATGTGTATGCTGAGGTGCTTTTTCCATCCTTTATCCAGAAATTGTTGATTCCGTTTGAGATGAGAGGATATCAAGGTGTTTATAACTTGGAAAAGAAAGTAATATGGCTTTGCATTTCCTTCTTCCTCCTGGTATTTCTTTTTGCAAATGCTGATTACCCTACCTCTCTAAGATATGTGAAGCTGCAGTTAGAGGTCTGTCTCCTGTTGCAAGTCCGCTTCCAGTGAAGTTTCCACTTCCAGATCCACATGATTCTTTTTCATTGCAGCCAGGCTGCATCTGTGTGTCTTCTCCTAATTTGAAAGCATCATCTGAAGCGGACAGATCATCAACCCTGACTCTGGCCATAGCCGGTGCACAAGAGGCAGCTTTGCAGTTCTCAAAGAAGGATCAGAATTCTCAAAGTATTGTTACAAATACTAATTATCAAGAGACAGAAACTGTAAAATCCTATAATTTACGATCGCTGAGAAGATCTGGGGAAAAAGATAAATCCACGATCTTCAGTGAGACATTCGATGATGGGACTTTGCCATTACACCATGAGGATAGAAGAAGCTATAACCAGTATGAGGGAAGCAGTAGGTACAATCAATATTGTGGTGCTGATGTGAGACGACCCCTTCAACAACCAGCTAAGGTTTGTACTCTCTTAGCCGTAGTAATTGTTGCTGTTGCATAGGCGTTCTCCTTGTGTGTAAAACTAAATAATTTTTATGGGAACTTTGGGCAGGGATCTATTGCATCAAAGGAGGAGGAGAGAAGCAGGGGTGAAAAGTATGAAGGAAGCAGTCGACCTCCTGGTGCAGCTTTGAGTCCGAATGCCCAGCCTCCGTCTAAGGTTTGCTGTCTCCTTTCTGTCTAACTGGTGTTAGTTATATGTTTGGTCATTCCCTGCGGAAATCTTAACTTTGTTGCATAGTTATACAACTAAAGCAAACAAAATGGTGATTTGGTGTAGAACGAGCTTGGATTGCATTACTCCCTTTATCCCCGATAAAAAGGTGGTTCATAAAATTATCCAATGTTGACGCATGGCTGTCATATATATTTTTAAAATTTTTTCTTATGGCTGTTCTGTTCTTGGGATCTCATTTCAACACTGAAATTGATTCTGACCCTTGTCTGTAATTAATTTTTTTTTAATTTAATTAGGTGATAATTGATAACATATAGAATCAGTCTGGTGATGTGTTTAGCGTAGCAGTGGCGTAGGTGCAGCTTTTTGCATGAAATTATATCTGATGTGGATCATGCAGTGATCCAAGCCGAGTCGGGCTGTAAAAATAAAAAGAAGAAGAAGCTGGGCACTTGCACACGTGCATCCACTATCCTTAGCATGCTCTGTCTCCTTGAGCCCCGAGGAATATGCGACATTGTTGCTTTCCCTAATTTCATTCTCTGCCTACTCCTTTTTAATGATGCACTTCTAAAATGTAAAGAATAACAGATTTAGTGGTCCTAGCGCTGACTGCTTCGTTGTTAGATTTTTGCTGCAGCGGTCAGAGGCCTGAAGCATGATCTTTAAATATGATGCGGCGAACGCAGAGATGGAAGTGGAGCTCGGATCCTGAAATCAAGCTTGGAATTGGATTATTTCAGGGAAATATCTTGTTGGACAGAGCTCAGCTTCTTGTTTTGTTGTATCGTTAGAGTAATCGAAGCTTGCCTACTTGTTTAAATAATGTGCACGGTGGATTTAAAGTAGTGATGCATGCTCTGCTTAACATTAGATAAGAATCTGAAATGGAATTTGTGTGCAAAGCATGGAGCTGTGCTTGTTGGTCTTCAATTGCTTGCTGCTCCGAAAGAGCCTCTCGAATCTCACCACCTCTGCCGCCTATTCCCAGCCTGCCCCCCCTCACGGCTGTGGATATCTTCAACTGAAAACAAATATATATTATTATTTGCATAGCTAAAGAGTGGGGGCGTCTATGATTTGTAGAAGTAAGCTAAAGTGTCGCACTCTTTTTTCCAGGTAATGGGTAAATATCTTATATGAAGAAATCAGACTTCTTTTTGGTTTGGCAGATGGCTACCTGATAAGCAACTTTTTATTTTTTATTTTTTTTGGTAGAAAAGCAACTTTTTATTGATTTTGTGGAAGATGATAGAGAATTTATTGATATTAATTGTTGAGAATGGGCTTGCCACCTTTAGGCCCATAATCAACAGTTAACCTAATTTTCTTTTATTTCTTGCTCTATTATTACTCTAAGTATTTATTAGTTATTATTATTCATATTTGTGGGAGAAATTTAAGGGATTTGATCTCAATTTTACTCACCTACTGTGAATAAAATCATACCATCATGGTATCAAAGCTTGTGGTTCCAAAATGTCGTACAAGGCAACAATAACTGGTTAGTGATGCATTTTCAACATTGATGGGGATCCCGACAAATCTTCGATGAGCAGTGAGTCCTTGCACGGACTAGACGCAATGAAATTAGGAGGGAGTAGCAATGCGAACTCATACATGATGGCGATTGGTTCGACACTTGAGTCTCTCTCACAAGTCACAATAACACATTGATTTAAGGGCAACAATTATCTCTAGTGGTCCAGAAATATCTTGATGTTTGTTCGTGGTAGAAACAACGAGAAAAATCTCACTTGAAACCGAAAACCACCTGAACCCAATGATCCTCTATTTGAAGGATGGTACGTAGAAAATAATCTGCTCATGATGTGGCTGGTCAACTCCATGACAGTGGAAATCAGCGAGAATTATTTACTCGCAACAACAGCCGAAGAGATGTGGGATTCTGCCAAGACAACATACTCGGTCAAGGAGAACATTACTGCAATTTTTCAGACCAAATGATTGCTTCGCAACCTTCTACAAGGTGAGCAATCTGTGACTCAATATTATAGTGCATTAATGAGGCTGTGGCAATAGATATATCTCTGAGATTCATGAATGGTCTTGCCATAAAGATGGAGTGTATTATAAGACAATTGTTGATTGAGAAAGCGGTTAATAATGAAGATGCTCGTGGTCGCATCATAAGCATGAAGCCACTCCCCTCATTAGAAGAATCATTTAATATGATCAAATGGGAAGAGAGCAGGAAGGTACTGACTAACTCTTCTCTCTCATCTGCTTCTTCTAATACCTCCCGTGAATCATCTGCACTTGCTGCCCGAGGAAATCAAGGTAACGCAAAGGGTAAGAAATCAAATAAATGGTGCGATCGCTGCTAAAAAAGTGGACATACCAAAGATCATTGCTGGAAACTTCACGAGAAGCCAAGAAATTTCAAACAGAAACCCAAAACAAAAAGCAAAGGATTGATGGTTGGTACTACTGAGTCTGAAGGAGATTCTCTAAGCTCCGAAGAATTACGAGGAAAATTCTGAACAAACATGCTTATGCAAATTTATGTGAGAAACCTTCTCCCTCTGTTACTTTAGCACACTCAGGTATTGCCTTCACTCAAGCTCTTAGTAGTGCCACTACATCTAAGAATATTTAGATAGTTGATTCAGGTGCGACTGACCATATAATTGGGTTTAAAGAGCTATTTTTTGAATTTAATGCTTCTTCTGAGGATTCTATTAAAGTGGCTAATGGGCAGCATGCTAAACTTTTAGGCTTAGACACAGTTGTTATTTCTACAAACATAGTGTTAAAGGATGTCTTATATGTTCCTGAAATCAAATGTAACCTATTATTTGTCTGACGGGTGGCAACACAAATAAATTGTCTTGTTATTTTTGACAAAAATGGTTGTGATTTTTAGGACTTGACCTTAGGGAGGATGATTGGCAATGCTAAGGAATGGAATGGATTTTACTATATTCAAGGAGATTCACCTATAGCACATAATTCTCGTGCTACCCCTTCTATTACTTTCACAAATGATCTTTATGTTATGGCAATCTAAGTTAAGGCCACCCTAGTCTTGGACTTGGTTATATGCAACTTTTGTTTCCCAGAATTAATAATAAATTGTTTTCTGAATTTCGTTGTGAAACTTGCCATCTAGCAAAACAGAATTGAAATTCTTATCCAAATCACACCTATGTTCCTATTCATCCTTTTAACATTGTTCATAGTGATGTATGGGGTCCATCTAAGCTTGAAACGAATTCTAAGGCTCATTGGTTTGTTACTTTTGTTGATGATCACACTCAATTAACTTGGGTCTTTCTAATGAAAGAAAAGTCAGAGGTCTTTTCCATCTTCAAATAGTTTTATGACTGTTAAAAATCCATTCCAGATCACAATCAAGATATTTTGTAGTGATAATGGAAAGGAGTACTTAAATTCTGATTTTAAAAATTTCCTGACCCTTCATGGCATACACCATCAAACCTCTTGTGTTTATTCTCTTCAACAAAATGGAATTTCAGAGAGATAAAAATAGACATCTCCTTGAAGTGTCTAGAGCCATTATATTTGGAGTTAACGTTCCTCACAAGTTTTAAGGGTATGCTGTTCTCACCTTAGCCTACTTGATTAATCGTATGCCATTCAAAACTTTGAACTTTTGTACACCCCTCCAAACCTTCCTTAACATATATTCCCACTCTTCCTTACTAACTCACTTCCTAAAAGAGTTTTTGGTTGTATTGCCTTTGTGTACAATGACCATGGGGGAAAGCTAGATCCACGAGCAATTAAATGTGTATTTTTAGGATACTCTTCAGGTTAAAAAGGGTGTAAGTGTTATTCTTCTCCTACCAAAGAGGTGTATGTCACTATGAATGTCAAATTTATTGAACAACAGTCTTTTTATCCTAAATCACCCATTCAGGGGGAGAGTGAGTGGAGTGAATGGCTCATTTGTGACACCAAGCATGATAAATCTAATAAAAAAACAACATACTGAGCCTAATGGACCTCAGACGTCACTTGATGAACCCATTATCTCTATCTCTCCTGCCACACATACTGAGAATTGTCTGGACAGATCTAGAAATTGCTCAAATTCTCACCTTTTATCAGAAAACAATCCTGGAACCTGTGAATCAGAGTCTAAGAACTCTGGAAACCTTTCGACCAAATCTGATTTTCAAGATAAAAACCCTTTTGAGCTTGTAAACTCTCTCAACAAACCAGATTTGACTGAGACTATGGTGGACGAATCTCTTAATGTTACTGAACAGTAGCATGAAGGAGAAAGTTCCATTACCATACTAAGGCAAAGCCATGATTTTATACCTGAGACAAGTCTTGAAGCTCTATATTGGCCTATAGTCTTGAGAAAGGGAAAGAGAAGCTGTACCCAACATCCTATTGGTAGGTATATCTAATACAAAAAGCTCTTTCCTCATCTGAAGACATTTGTTACTAATGTTGAAAGTGTAAAAATCCCTAAAAGTTTTAATAAGGCTTTTGTTGATCCAAAATAGAAACAAGCTATAGAAGAAGAGTTGAGAGCTCTACATAAGAATAGAACTCGAAAGATTGTGAATCTACCTAAGGGTAAATCTATTGTGAGTAGTAAGTAGGTATTTACAATGAAGTATAATCCTGATGAGAGTATAAATAAATACAAAGCTTGACTAGTTGTCAAGGGGTTTACTCAAACTTATGGTATTGATTACTAAGAGACTCTTGCTCCTGTGGCTAAGCTCAATATCATAAAGGTTTTAATATCCCTTACTGCAAACTTAAATTGGCCTTTACATCAACTGGATGTGAAAAATGCCTTCCTTAATGGTGATCTTTAGGAAGAGGTATACATGGAAGTCCCTTTAGGTATGAGAACCTTAGAAAATGTTGGTAAAGTCTGCAAACTTTATAAATCTCTGTATGGTTTAAAACAATCCCCAAGAGCTTGGTTTGAAAAGTTTTCCCGTGCTATTAAGGGTTTAGGCTATACACAATGCCAGGTAGACCACAACTTATTTGTTAAACACTGTGGAGACAAAATAACAGCCTTTATTGTTTATGTTGATGATATAATGTTAACAGGTAATGATGCTGAAGAGATAACTAAACTTAAAAGGAGCATGGAAGTTGAATTTGAAATCAAGGATCTTGGTTCCTTGAGATACTTTCTTGTCATGGAAGTGGCAAGAACCCAAAAGAGAATCAATGTGTCACAATGAAAGTACACTTTAGACTTGCTAAAGGAAACAGAGATGTTGGGAGCAGGGCTTGCTAATACCCCAATGGAGCTTAATCAGAAGTTAACCATTAGACCTAATGGTATAGTAGTGAATAAAGAGAGAGATCAAAGGTTAGTGGGAAAATTGATTTACTTGTCACATACAAGACCTGATATATGTTTTCCAGTAAGTGTTGTAAGCCAGTTCTCTAGCAATCCTCAAAAAGAGCATATGACAGCAGTATACAGAATTTTAAGATACTTGAAGAAAACTCCTGGACAAGGATTGTTCTTTGGAAAAGGGGAATTTAGAAGCATTGAGTTGTTTACTGATGCTGATTAGGGAGGCTCTAAATTTGACAGGAAATCTACCATTGATTATTGTTCCTATATGTGGGAAAACTTGGTAACATGGAGAAGTAAGAAACAAACAATAGTCTCAAGAAGCTCAGCGAAGTCTGAATATAGAGCCTTGGCATTGGGGATGTGGATTGTGAGACTCTTAAGAGAGCTTAAGGTTGGGATTGCTGATGCAATCAAGGTTTGGTGCTATAACGTTTCAGCAATAAAGATTGCTAATAACCCTATCCATCATGACCACACAAAACATGAAGAGATTAACCGACGATTCATTAAAGAGAAAATTGAGGCAAACGTGATTTATTTATCTTATGTCCCTTCAAGGAAGCAGATTGCAAATGTTATGACCAAGTCATTAGCTAGAGAAAAAATTGAGGGGTTCAGGAGCAAGATAGGAATGATTAATATCTATTCTCCAGCTTGAGGGGAAGTGTTGAGAATGGGCTTGCTACCTTTAGGCCCATAATCAACATTTAACCTAATGTCTTTTTATTTCTTGTTATGTTATTATTCTAGTATTTATTAGTTATTATTATTCATGTTTGTGGGAGAAATTTAAGGGATTTGATCTCGATTATGCTCTCCCTCCTTGTACTATTTATCAATACACCTACTGTGAATAACATCAGAGCATTTGCAGCCAAATACTATAATTAATGAATCTGTGAGAGACTATATCTTGCCTTTTGGGAGATAGGATGCATTCAAAACCTAGCCATGTTGTAGATCTCATTACTAAGACTAGAGTATCGAGTGAGGAGAGTGGTGATGATAAACACACATGGATCATTCAATTGATGGCAATTATTATGTGAAATCTAGTTAGTCCTTTCTTTTTGCAAGTCCAAGAGGAAAGTAATCTTACATGGCGCAATATCTAGAAATGGTTAATACTGGAGAAGATAAAGACACTTTTTTGGCAACTAGTGCATGATATAGTGCAACACCACGGAGTTCCACATGAGGAGAGGATTGACCATTATGGGACCATGTTTGTTCAAATGTAACCAACCAGAAGACACAATGCATCTTTTCCAGGAATGTAGACATGCAAATCAATGGTGGATGGAGTATGTCGGAGCTGATCTAATTGATAAATTTGTTAGTCTGGATAAGAAGAATTGGATCAATTGGAATATCAAGATGCAAGCAGAGAATTCTACTACATAAGTTGTTCCTTGGAATTTACTCTTTGCTTACGCTTGTTAGAATATTTAGAATTCCAGATGCTCATTTCTCTTTCAAGGGCAAAATGGGATGGTCTTCGAGGAACCCTGTAATTTTATTTTCAAAGTTGCTACCGATATTAAGCTAGGGAAACAGCTTCCTGGAGCTACAGGTTCACACTTTTATGAGTCTACTCAGGCTTGACTTGAATACCATTAATTAGATTAGAGACTGATGGTTCAATTTTAGAGAATAGGCAAGTTACTTACGGAGGAATTCTTAAAGACAGAAATGGTGACTAGATTATAGGATTTAGTCACAAGTTAGGACATGTTTCTACAACTTTCTAAAATTTATGGCATTTACAAAAGGCTTGAATTATGCTAGCAAAAAGGATACAAGGCAGTGGAAGAATTTTATAACTGTGCGTAGGCGATTTCAACAAAGGGCAACCATCACTGTTATCCATTTCAACGTATCATTGACGCCATAAAAAAGATTATTGTACAAGAAATGCTATATTTCTCTTCATTTTTTGTATAGGGAGAACAGCAGATAGGAAGATTACCTTGCCAAACTATATCATACCCTCCCCTCTGATTCTAACTTTATTGAGTCTCCACCCATAACATGTGCGGCTGTTTTGTTCTAATTTTTCTTTCTTTTTTTTCTCCTTTGTTCTTGTCTTTTGGGTCATGCTGTTGTAGCTTTGCATTCTTTTTAGTTGTATGATTTTTCAACTCTAGTCAACAAAAAAAAAAAAAAAATCTATTTGCATTGTCAACTATACTTCGATTGTGACTAACATTTAAAAAAATATTTTTTAATTTATATTTTTAAGGAACCATTGTTTTATTATGTTGAGAAAAATGACAACAAATAAAAAAATAGGAAATGAGAAAAAAAGTAAAGATAATGCAATTTTTAATCTCCCAAATTTATCTTAATTGTGGATTTCATTTCTCAAATTCAATTTTTATCAATTTGATCACTAAAGTTTACTTCAATTGTTAATTTGATCCTTACTGTTTAGAAAAAAAAGATAATATTGCTAAAATCTATTAACATATATCATAAAATAATGATAATAGTCATGTAGATTAATAATATATATATATATATATATAACTATTCAGTTGGAAAAAAATTCTGAAATTTTAAAAAACAAGAACAAAATATGTGTAAGGGATATTGATAAAAGTTAATCTAATGTAAGTACTAATTTGTTCTTATTTAACAAATACATGTTGAATCATCAGTATACGTTATACACTAAACTAATTTGAAAGTCAATTTGTACTTTAAAATTTAAAAACTCATGATTACTTAAAAAAAAACGTAAAGAATCAAATTGATAATTGAAACAAACTTAAAGAATGGAATGTTTTATTATCTAAACATAATAATTTTGATTTAATATGGAGAAAAACTTCGGGCCAAAAAATGTGAAAAAATGTTTTTGTTTACCATGAGGCAGTGAGGGTTTTTTGGCTCCGTCAGATCAACACAAGCAGGCGAGTTGACAAATGTAAAGCAAATAATGCTCTGGATCCCGTTCTCACCTGGACCAGGTTCGTGCATTCAGAAAACAGCGGACTTCATATCCGTAAAATTTCATCACTTGACGAATGCAACCAAACAAGTTCCTTCACGTTAAAATAATCTGCGGCAAAGGGTGGATGCGTTCTCTGGAACCCATACATCACTTCAGCAAATATTCTAGAAAACAACTCTAAACCAACGTAGGCTTCTTGAATTTCCCATGAACCCACACCCTTCGCATGCTCTTCCCTTGCTGACGATTCAGAGACTTGACACAACAATAATCAAGCTCGAGCTGCAAGGTTCATAGGCATAAAATTAAATGGCGGGCAGCCAATAGCCATATGTCAAAAACAGTGCAGAAACTGCATGAGACGCACAAGCTATACAAGTTAGACAGGTGGGAGATTCCATGAAGTGGACTGTATATTGAACAACCACTACGCTATTAACTGATGCTAAGCTCAGTTCACATCAACAAACGTGCAAATAAGCACATAGTTTAATGCAGGACGACAGTATGTCAGTATCGCACATACAGTTCTGTTTCTTTTTTAGCATGAAATATTCATTACTAACATCAACCACAAGTCCACTTCCCTAACTACAGGGCGCTTGGCTCACTTGGAAAGGAGGTGAGTCTGCTTAACCTGAGGTCTCGTATTCAAGTGCCAAGGTATGCAGCTACATAATTTCCTGATGGGAGGTACCCCACCCCTCGAGGTGGCCCAAACAGATGCCGAGCTGGATTAGTCTGGGCTGAGCCTAGGATACCGGTGCACAAGCCCAAAAAAAAAAAGGGTCCACTTCCCTATAAATAAAATAAGTACCTCCAATCTGAAATGTAAAACACAGTACCTCAGTGAAGCCTGCGCCCACAAATAGGTCTCTGACAGTATCTAAACAGAAGAAATATGAACGTGTGCCATCTGACCGCTTGTATTCCCTGAATCCGACTCTCTTAGCTTGCTCAAACCGAAGCATGGTCATATCATACAGACCTGATTTCATGAAGTTTAATCATTCGTAGCAGTTTAGGGTTCATAAGAAATATTATGATTTGTATCTTGGTTAGAAAATAATGTGATAAGGATTCACTAACGCGCTACAACAGCATACAGATTTTCACAAAGACTCCAGATAAAATTGACTGCTAGTTTATTACCATAGTCCCTGAAAAATACCATTCCTCCAGGCTTCAACACAGCAAAACACTCGTTGATGGACCTCGACATTCTTTCCAGTGGCACTGCTGACAGAGTAAATATCTGATAAATTATCCATCAACCCAAGAAACTAATTCATTAAGATGTCATCAAAAACATGTTATAGTTTTCAACACGAGACTGCAATGCAAGTGAAATCCAGACAGATGACAAGAAAGACTGAGCATCACTCGAGGCAAAACAATCTTAGACCATACTATTACCTAGGCATTTAAAAAATCAGAGGTCATAGACACATCAGAGCCACAATATGAGAGCATAAACGCATGTATCCTCCAGAATAAAATCAAAAAGCGCATAAACAAGATGATTGTGCGTATGATGAAAGAGCAAATTGTTTGCAAGACACTTTTGTGACGAGATGTCAACTTTGAAAAGTATAATATAAAGTGACTTACTGTTGTTATAATATTAGGGGCTAAAGTACAAATCTACTCCTGAATATTTTCAAAAAAGGCACAATGACACCCCTACATTTTTAAAAACAGGACAATGTCACCTTGGATTAACAAAAGTAGCTAACAATGTTAATTTCTTTAGATGGGTCCCACATATTAGTGCCACATAGATCTTCTTCCTCCTTGATTTGACCACACACCTATGTGCAAGACACACTTTCTTCTTCCTCCCACCTACTCGTAAAGCCATACTCCCTATGATTTGAAACACTTGAGGCATGCACCCAAACCATGGCAACAAAAACATAATCCATAGCATTTGATATTAATATTCCCAGACCAACCCAAATCAATTGATATCATTTGGATCAAGAATGCAAAAACAAAAACATAGTGTATGGCGCCATCTGGGTAAACGAGAACTTGACAATGAGTAATGACAATATTAGTATTAGTTAGAATAATGCAGCAGGTGAAATAGGAGATGGAGTGGGATTAAGAAAATGAAGATGGGGTTTTGGGTGCAGCATGCGATAGTGTACATGGTAACTAATATTTCTAGTCTCACACATGCTCTCTGATTATAGAGATTTTAATTCGTGTAGTTCTACACAAGAACTAATCCTAGTTAGAAGAAATTGCTAGTTAGTGTTCTTAAACCCAAACCAGATTGAACTGTTGGTGAACACGATTGGAGAGTTGCACAAATGCTGGAATTCCAACGAGTTCAGCCATCAGATCTCAGGAAGTGAGGATGGAATCTCGAGTCGCAAAGCAAGGAAGGAAGGAATCTTGCAGTCTTCAAGTACGAAGAGTGAAGATTGAGACAACGCTGGTGAAGGATTAACAGAGGTAATCTCGCAGTCTTTGAGTTGCAAAGCAAGGAATCTTGTGGTCCCGATGAATCAGATCTTGGCAAGTGAAAGGGGAAGAAGAAGCTTAGGCAAAGTTGCCATCACTGTTGACGATGGAGGAAGATGACGATAATGATGGAGAGGTGGGAAGATGAAACTGTACAGCTATGACTAGGAAGACAAAGAGGCAAAGAAGAACTAGCTTGCAACCCAATAGTGAATAATTCGCTTGCACACATGGCATCAAAGTGGGGGGCCCATTTGAAAACACCATTAGCTACTTTTGTTAGTCCAAGGCGACATTGTCCCTTTTTTAAAAACATGGGGATGACATTGTGACTTTTTGAAAATGCTCGAGGGAAATTTGTACTTTAACCCTGATATTAATAACTCTAAACACTAGTTTCAGTCCCATATATACTGGTGGTCTGGAAACATCACATAATTAAACTTATGATACTTTAGAAAGAAAAGGTCTTACCAAGGTTATAAAATCTACTCCACCAATACAACCATCATATCCCTCCCGTGAACATGTATTGGTAAAACATGGTTCATTACCCTCCTTGGACTCTGGAGAAAAATGATATAACTAAATCTAATTTATCAAATAATAAAGCAAAATAGATCACACCAATACCATAAAGATGAAGCAGAAACCTGAAACACAGTTTGACTGCTTTTGTAAAAACTTGTTTCGGCAAGAATTGCATGCCAACCACGGGGGAAATCCATTAGTGCAAACATCACAACAGAATGTGTGGAAACGATCTTCAAAAGAGCCAATTGTAGCAGAACCTATAACTTCTTGAGCCCTATTTAAACTCTTGCTGCTACAGTCGCATGCATAAACAATAGCATCTTTGTTCGCTCTAAACAGGAAAATTTTGTCAAGGATAGTAAGTTCAAGATCCAAAACCAATATCAAATAAACTACCTAAAAGAAAGTAAATTATTTTAACCTTCAAACCAACAAAACATGAATGAACAATCGATTCACAGCTACAACCAACCATTTTCAACCAATCAAATTCTCCAAAAGCTAAAGTATAAAATGGTGATAATTTATTCAAGAATCATCAAGCCATTAACATTAGATAAGAAGTCGACCAAAAATAAGTCACAAATATGCAACTTAAACCCAGGTTTCTAAAGAAGCAGAGTGTATCTGTGTCACATGTGGAAGCCAAACTCAAGAAAGTTTTGGACTTTTGGTATTTTTCACACTCAATGACTTTAGCATGTTTGCATGAACAAAATAGATAGGACTCAGGAGAACGTCAGCAATAGAAGTCTCATCAAACCAAGAAATCTGCAGAGAACAGCAAGAGATGTAGTTCCTTCTGCATATATTAAGATTGTCTGAGCACCAGTATACCCATGCTGTAACCAGCCAAAAATCTAGGTAAGCACGCCACACAAACACAACAGAGCAAAAGAAACTGCTCTCCGTGAAACAAATCAAGCACGCCGATTGAAAGGGAATACAGGACAAGCTTTCTAGATTCGGGCATGCCCATGTTCCACAGCAAACAAGGTGGGGGGGCATAAGTGCATGATCCGACATCAATAAGTCTCTGCACAAGAGCAGTAACCAATCAAACTCTCTTGAAATAGCACATCTCTGTATAACCGCTCAAAAAAGATCGTTCACGTTATCACGTATATTGTCCAGAGTCTAGGCGGTGAATAGCTACTATCAGCATAGGCCCAGTTAAGGTTTGGGGATAAATTTGTGCCGGTATTATCCCGCTGATGATTTGCGAATATCGGTTCTTTTGTTAGGCCTGTGACCCTCAATGAGAAAAAAAGGGTTTAGGCCAGGCCAAGCAGAATGGTATTAGGAATTAAAAGTAATCACTAATCAGGGTTTATGATCACTGATGTTATTTGAAGTCAAAATGTAGCCAGAACGACTTCCGATTGTTTGGTTCTCGTACTACACAAAGAATCGAAGGATTGGATTGGCAGTGAAGAAGAGCAAAGCCAAATAAAAGACTGTATTACCACAGTATTGTCTCCGACCCATTCCCCGGGAAGAAAATTACCGCAAAATTGGGAGAGCAGTACTTCCATTGCCACAACCTACTTCCAAAACTGCGTTTTCTCCACAGGAAAGCAGTTCAGGGAATTCCTTCACCAAATATCGTCTCTCCTGAATCAACATTTACGCATAGTTTAAACAAATAAAGACAGTTTAAAATAAATGTACAATAAAGAAATCTTGCAGCGGAAAAACCTTAAAGAATTTCCCCGAGGAATGACGGGTGTGAAATTGCTCCCAGGCATCCACGTCGGCTTCTGCTTCTCTCGCAAAAGACGACGGCTCATATGGTAGTAAGTGGTAACGAAAAGAAGGATTTGCTTCGATCTCTGCTCTTAGTTCTTCCCAGTCGAAGCCCTTGGAGAAGTATTCTGCTTCGCAGCTCATTCTCCGAATCTTTGCGCGACGCGCCTCAGGGTACCCAATTGAAACCCTGCATGCCCTCCTCATCCAACCCCACGGTCAAATGAGTAGATTATATGGGCAAAAGTGTAACTTTACTATTATATTAGTCCTTTAATTCTTAAATTCTAAAAACTAATAAAATATTTTAAAGGGACAAAGCAACTTTTAATCCCTTAACGTTTGGGATTTTATTAACTTGGTCCGTTAACTTTAATTTTTGTCATATGAGTCCCCAGCGTTTACTTTTGTTATTAAGTGATTTTTTTATGTTTTGTAAGACAAAATAACCCTAAAAAAATTGATATGAAAACTAGATTGTTGATGTAAAATATACATGTGGATTAAATAAAATGCGTCAACAAAATCCATCAAGCCCTAATTACTTATATGAAATCCACAATAGTGATAGCAATATAATAAAATAAATAACAAATAAGTAATTAACACTTGACAAACTTAACTAATGTTTTTTATTTAATTCATCAGTATATTTCACTTCAGCAATCTAATTCCATATCAATATTTTTGGGTTATTTTGTCTTGTAAAATTTAAAGGACTTGATAACTAAAGAAAATATTAAGAACTCAAATGATACAATTTAAAGTCAAATGACCAAATCGATGTAATTATAAAAGAAAGAGACGAAAAGTTATTTTAGCCCCATTTTAAAATATTAATATATCAAGTTTAATTTTGGAAGAATTATAGTCAGCCCTCTCTTAAGAAAATTTATCACAAACAAAGATTAATTCAAAATGAATTGTTGTTAAAATGTGAAATATGACCTATTATTTTTTAAATGAGACTTATTATTGGTCCTTATTTATAATTAGTTTTATTGAGAGGGAGTTGACTATAATTCTCCCTTTAATTTTTAAGGAATGACAATGATCGAACTAAAATATCATCATTTAAAATTTTTTGTTTGTATTTAAAATTGCAATGTTAACATTTTTTAATTAACATAACAGTATTAGGTTAATGAACAATGAGACCACCTCTTTTACACAAACACACATGGTATTTAGATATGATTTTGCAAGTTATTAACAAATTTTTTACTGATTGTATCAAGTTGTTGACACCAACTCTAATTGTTCCTAAGATGAGTGAATGAACATGATGCTTATCAATAAAAAGCTTTTTGTTTAAACCTAAAATGAAGCATTACACTAACAAAAAACTCAAAAGAAATGTCAAGCACTGTGATGTATCAATTAATGCAAGGCCTAGTTTGTTTCTCAAATAAGTTCACACTAAACATGTACTAAGGGAAAGGATGTAGCCTTTAAGACTCGGAGCCATTGGATGTGGAGGACCGTTAAGACGACATGAGATCGTTATTTAATATGTCATGAACCTTACTAGACTGTGCCAAGTGATAATGGATATTTCGCATACGAGCTCCTAATTTTTCAAGTGTGAGGGTTTCAGGCATGTGAGTATAAAAGAGGTTCAGCTAATGAAATCAAGGGAATACATGCGCAAAAGTAGACTCTTTCCTTAACTTTCAATTCAAATTCACCTTACACTTAGGTTTAGACTTTGTTATTTCAATTTCACAATTGTAGTTTTTGTGATTTTGTACTTCAATTTTAGTAATCAAATCTTCTTTACGTCATTATATTTGTATCTTCGTATTCAGGTGAATTGAGATAAGGAAGCTCGAGGACTTCCTTCTTATTTATGAGACTTTACGTCTCTGTCACATTTGGTATTTAAATTATTCAAATACAATGAACAATTTATAACTAATACTTTCATTTTGAAAAACATATCAACTTACAAATAAGTGTTAAGAATTTAAATTTTTTTTGCAACGTTTACATTGATAAATTAAATTTTAGATTTAAAATTTTGCATTCCAAAACTCATATTTAAATCAATATATTTATAATTCTTTGTTTGAGTAGTTTAAAAAAAATTCAAATGAAGAAGAGAGATAAACTAAAATTTGAAACAAAAATAAAAAATTAGAAATAATGAGTTTATTTTTATTTTTAAATCAACATGAGATAAGAAAAGATTTGAAAGTTATAAAGATATTACTAGTGAAAACACGAGGAGAACATGATGTTAAGAGTGATTAGAATTTCAAATAATTAAGATATAAAAAAATTAAAATTACAAATAAATTATAATTTGAAATAGATTTGGATTTGAACTAAATCCAAATTCATAATTTTTTGTATATCCAAATGAGAGATTTAGTTTAAATCCAAATCTAAATTCAAATTCTCATTAATTCAAATGTACCATTATAGAATTTTCAAAATTATATAACTATTGATATTTTCATCATTTCATTTTTAAAGCATAATATATATATATATATATATATATTTATAAAAAAATTTAAAAAATATTACAAATTAATATAAAATATTAGTTGTGGTTTTTACAAAAAAACCAACATTTTAAAGTTACATGTCTTCTTAAAAAATATCACATTTCCTTGGAATGATGACACGCCAGTTTTGATTTAATTCTTTTTTTATGTGAGCATGAACTCGGCTGCTTAAAAAATAAAAATTGGTATGAGAATAATCCAAAGTAACACTATGAAATTAAAACTCCAATGTTTCAATTTTGGACTTTTTTTTTTGGGAATCGTTTCATGTGTTACGATAGGAAATGTATCAGAAAAAACAATGATTTATTGATGACATTATTCTACAAAACACTCTTCGTTAACTAAGTGCAAACATGCCAACCAATGGTGGAAAGAGTTCGTGAGTCCTGAACTGTGGGACAAATTGCAAAATCTAAATGGGAAGGATTGGCTAGGGTGGAATATATAGAGCAATGCAGGCAAAATGTTCGCGCAGGAGGTTCGTTTGGAAGACGCTATTTGCTTTTGCAATTTGGGATAGTTGAAAGTGCAGATGCAAGAAGTAATTTCAAGAGGAGGAAGAATTATGTCTGAGGAGCCCACTGCTTCTCTCTTCAAAGTAGTGGCTGATTTAGCTATAAAGCAGCGTCTACCTAGAGAACGACAATTAGGCAACGTTTACTTTGCATGGTAAGGCAGTGAGGAGGCTTACAAATTAGAAACGAATTGCTCTACCTTACAGGATGGGTCTGGCTCTCGTGGTGGCGTCTTCAAATGCAAGAATGGTCACTAGATTCAAGGTTTCAGTTGCAAGTTGGGCAAAGCAACCCCTGTCATTTCTGGGATATGTGTCACTTATAAAAGGCTTGAATTGTGTCGGCTTTCTGGAGTTACAGTTATGGAGGTTTTTGTGATTACATGAATACTATATTCACAATTTTAAGGGATAATCATAATTATTACTCTTTTACCGATATTAATGACCCCACTAGGAGTTTAGTAAATAGGAATTGTGATATTAAATTCTATTTTGTTTGTAGAGAGGAAAACACTATAGCTAGTTATTTAGCTAGACTAGCTTTCATTTACACCACTAACACAACTTCTTTTCTCCAACATCCCATCCCGGTAATTTGACCATGATACTACCAAAAAATATATATTTATTAATATATTATATTTTTAAAAATATTTTTCAAATACTACAAATTTTAAAACTTGGTTTTAATGACACTGAGTTTCAATTTTTTTTTTGGCGCAATAGTATAGTGAACTTTTTTTTTCAGAAAAGTATAAAACTTGGCTTGATAGAAGCCAAGTTCTATACTTATGTTTAAAAAAAATAAAAAATTAATGTAATATGTGTGGAAGTTTATGTCTATTATGACTCCACCTTAATATATGATTGTACTCCATAATTTCTTTTCTCTTCCTCTCTTGTTGCTAATGCTGGTAATTCAGGTCCAGCCCAACGAGTTGACCTGAACCTGGCTGAAAAAATTTAAGGCTAGACTTGAAAAAAAAGATAGTTTTTTTTATGTTCATGCCTATTGGCCCAAATGCCTAAATAAAACAAATTTATTTTTTAAAATATATAAAATATAATTAAATATTAATTAATTCTTTAAGTTTTAAGTTATTTTATATTAAAATATTATATATTTGAGTCCTATATATTGTTTAAGTATCAAAAAATATATTTTATATTTTTTTATAAAATAAAAAAATTATTAATTACACCCATAATTAAAAGTATTATTCTATTCCTATTTATAAATCACACCTAATATTTTCATCAGAATTAAGAAAAAACTTGCAAATCTTATTAATTTTAAGACAATTAAGATATTTGCTTTCTTTGTTTTTGGGAACTTGTGGTTTAGCTTTATGCTGCCTTCTTTTGATGTTTATGCAGGTGTTGCACTTATTGAAGGCTTTCCTTAATATTCAGCACTACTTGCATAGGCTAAAAGAGAGCTGAGACTTCCTAAGAAAAAACATTAATTAAATATTCAAATAATAAAATTTAAGACAATTAAGGTATTTCATTCAAATATCCGAATAATAAAATATAATTAAGTATTAATTAGTTGTTTTAAAATTAATGAGATTTGTAAATTTTTTTTAATTTTGATGAAAATGTTAGGAGTAATTTATAAATAAAAATAGAATAATACTCTTAATTGTGAGTGTAATTAATAATATTTTTTATTTTATAAAAAATATAAAATATATTTTTTGATATTTAAATGATATATAAAACTCAAATATATAATATTTTAGTATAAAATAACCCAAAACTTAAAAAGTTAATTAATATTTAATTATATTTTAAAGTTAAACTTAAAAAAATATTTTTTTTTATGTTCATGTCTGTTAATCCAAACACTCGTTGGGCTAATAGGCTTAAATTATAAAGAAAACTTGATAGTGATTTTTTTTTTTAAATGTTTGAGCAGGTTTAGCTTGGTTTATTGATTTTGATTCGAATTATCGACTCTTGCAATAAGGGAGAAAGGGAAGATAAATTATAGAGTACAATTATATATTGAGATACAGTTATAGCAGACATAATCTACCACATATATTGCATCAATTTTTTATTTTTTTAAATATAAGTACAAAACTTGGCTTGATACTTTTTTAAAAAGATTTCGTACAGAACTTGGCTTGATGTATAGAAAAAAAAATTTGAAACTCAATGTCATTGAAGTCAAATTTTAAAATTTATAATATTTAAAAAAATATTTTTAAAAGTATAATATATTGATAAATAATTTTTTTTTAGTAACATAGTCAAATTGCCTCCCATCACTTGACAGCGTTGATGGGGATTTTGATGTTGTTGATTTTTTATTTTTCTCTATTGTTTTTTTTTTCCCAGCTAGACTAATTGTGCCTTACTTGCGCTTCGACCTGTTTTCTGAATGATTATGTTTCTCCAATTATTAAAAGAAAAACACCTATTATTTAAAAAAAACTTGGAAAATTGCGAAGATCAATTATTCTGCACATCATCTTAACCATCGTGTAAATTTTATGTATTAATTCACTCCTAATCACAATATAAATAATTATTAATTAATTACATTTTAAAAAAGGGAGAAAATGATAATAAAATTCTCCTACATTATATAAATGACAATTCGATCTCTTAAAATACTATAATTTTATTGAAATTTGTAGAAACTTTTCTGTCATTGATAAATTTATGTAAATAACCAAATTACCCTCATAACAATATCAATAATTTGATATGTAAAATTAAGATTTGCTATTATATTATTGTGAATATAATAAGTAAAATTGTAATTACTTAAATAAAATTTGTGATCATTACTTGTTATTTCTAACATTTGTAACAATATCAAGAATTTGACATGCGAAATTGTGATTTGCTATAACATAGTTGTAAATATAAAAAAAATTATGATTATTTAAACAAAACTTATAATTATTACTTATTATTTTCAATACTTGTAGCAATATTAAGATTTTGATATGCAAAATTGTGATTTACTATTACGCTGTTGCAAACACTTGTAGCAATATTAGGAGATTTATTTTCAACAAAGACAATATGATCATTTACATAAATTCATCAATGACATAAATTTTTAAAAACTTCAATAGAATTATAACATTTTTAAAAACTAAATTATCATTTATATAATTCAAAAAAAATTTATTATTATTGTTTCTTAAAAAATCAAAAAGATCAATTTTTTTTTACATCTTTCACATCTTACTCATGAATGAAATAAATATAACATTTAATTTATTTAAAATATCTCCATTAATTACTTAAATGAAATATAATAAAATAAGGATGTATGAAAAAGTATGCTCTCTTCGTTAAAAAATGTAAGCTATTTTTTAAAAAGTTGAATGTTAAAAAATATAATGCATTTTAATCTTTTAAAATATAATCATTGTTTTTTTTTAATATCCTTATTGATAATGACTTTATATTTATTATAGTGTGTTTAATAAGAGTAAATATTGAAAGAAAGAGTTAGTTTAAAAGTAAGTAATTATTTTATTAAGATGAGTTAAAAATGCCTTATATTTTAAATGGAGGAAGTAAAAGTTAAGCAAGTCCTATATTTTTAAAGAAGCGAGGACTTGTAGAAAATGATATACTGTGATACAGAGGGAGTACATGAAATTTAAAATTAATTGTACAATTTATAATAAACATAGTGCAAATATTTATTGATTTTTATATAAAATATATAAATTTCAAAATGCTAAGTTCGTTTTAACCATAAGTATCTGCACTATAATATCAGTCACATTTTCTGAACAACGTCGGTTCATCCTTCTTTGTCAGTGCAAGGGGCGTGCAGTCAATTCTTACGCCACTTCGAACCCACAATCCATTCTTTGGCAGAAAAAAGCTCAATCAGGAGCATGGATAGCAAATTGAGCCCCCTAAGTTTAATTGTCAAGAAACTCTAGATTGGTGTCTCCTATGTCAGAATGCCTAAATTATATGCTTTGGTAAACTTACGAGATATTTTGACATCATTCTAATCTTCAGATACTGTTCAAAAATCTCAGTTTTCACAATTTCTCACCTGCGTGTTGCAGGGCTCTTCTTAGTTCATCTGCTATCTCTTGAAGAAGAATAGGTTTTCGAATTAATCCGTTCATTCCAACCCGCAGGCATCTATCCATCACATCTTCTTCTGCACTTGCTGTAAGAGCTATAATCAAGGGCCAGTTGCGGCTGTGGAACTTCCGAATTCTCATAGCCACATCAAAACCATCCATTTCGGGCATGTGCAGATCCAAAAGGATGACGTTGAATGTATTACCAGATGCACTTACAGCACCCAGGCATTCAAACCCTGATGAAACAGCAGTTACTTGACAACCCAACTTCTCAAGAAGTTTTTTCGTCACTGTCCTGTTTATGTCGTCGTCGTCGGCTAACACAACCTTGAGGCTTCTGAACCGAGAGTCCAGAGAATCTTTAGGTGCTAAAATGGATCTTCCGTGTGATGGCCCTATCTGAAACTTGAGGGCAAGTGTCATGCTTTGTGCCAAACCTAGAGCGTTCAGTGATAACCAGATATTGCCTTGCATCATCTGCAAATCATTCCACATTGTAAATTCTGAATTACTAAGAAGGATATTATCAATATCCATCAGACTCGGAATATCTAAAAAGAAAAGAAGTTCAGATTTTCTTTTGCATAGAAAGCATGATCCCACTCTACCGATCTTCTAAGGCACATAAGTCTCATTTAATTTATTTTACCCACCCCCTTTAACTGTTCAAAAATATGAATACAAGTCGGCCTTTGCCAATTGGTTTCCTGATCTTGCTGATGGAGCTCAAATAAAAATCCAGCATCAATAATGATCTCAAAATTGGTTTCCATAGGGTAGTCCATGTAAGTTCAAACCCACCATCACCTTTGTTTCCTTGAACAAAGAGGCTCATATTACTAAAGTTCTGATATCACAATATTATCTTGATCATGCCTACAGTATTAAAATCAACAAATTTAACCTCAGTTAACCTCCTTGCAGAATGACTGATGAGACAAACAATTATCCCAACATGGGGGAACAAAGCAAATGCGTAGTGTCATTAAACTAAAATGGCAGAGCGACTAATAGAGGCTGGATGGTTTTTCTTGGTTTGTTTTTGGTTTAGTGTTTTCCTTGTTTATTTCTTTGGCCCCTGGCCTCATCCTGTACTTAAACAAAATGACAGCGCAACTAAGTTCTTGAACTGAAATAAGATAGGAATGAGATTTACAGAAAAGCCATGCTGGCACTTTCTAAACAGCCTGTTCAACCAAAATTGAATGTCAAGTACTGATCAGTATTACGGACTAAGAGATCACACGAAATTATACTTCCTCAATAAATTGCAAGAAGAAAGATATCCTCTTTCACTAAAGTTGCCACTTGGCAAAAGCTGATAAAACTAGAAGGCCATGGAATGAGTCTATTAACCATCCAAGCCAATACTATAGTACTGGCAAAGTACTTACTATATATCAGAAAAGTCATCCACTTTTGACCGTAAATGAATTCCAACGAAAAACTTGGATACTTTTCATCATAGGATGAAAAACAAAGAGTGACTTCAGAAAGTAGCAGAGCATCGCGTCATCCAATTTGAAACAAAGATATTTAAAAATCATAAGCTGCCACTGTTTCTTCAGCTTTACATGAGGCCATGTAAATCTTAATGAAGAGAACAATTTAAGGAATTCCTCTGCTACACCCCAAATAACAAGCTGGCCTTACATATCTATGGTTCTAAATGCCAATAATTACCTTTCAATCCCTTCCTCCATCATCATCATCATCATTTTTTTTTCAGGTTATGTCATACTCCTCCTTTAATGTAGATGTCAAGATATGCCCCAAAACTTCAGTTGAATACAGTCATTTGCTAACTAGTAAAACTCCTTTGGGAATTAATGTATTTTATGCAAAGACTCTTGTTCATATATCAAGAAAAGAGAGTTTACATGGCCACTAAAAATGATGGATATGGAGCTGGGGAAGCTTTTAGCCCTTTAAGAAGTGGCATTCAACTCATCCAATTTGTTTTTCTCCATTAAATTTAAACCAGGAATCAAGCAACCAGATTTCCAAACCAAAACTTTTGATTAGTAAGCAAGCATGCAAGATTGGTCACCAAGACTCCCACCCAGCACAAGACTTGATGCAGCATAGACTAAAATAACATCTTTTTTTTTTTTGGTTCTTTTTTGGAACATACTTTAGAGTGTAAGTCAGTTCCTGATTATTTCTCATTGTTAAATCTGACAACTTTATTACTAAATTTCTCAGGATTATAGTAAATTCATCAATTCAAGCATCAACCTATGCATACGCTGCTTCAAACAAAATGTCCTAATCTGCACACAGCCAACTGCCTACAAATTTTAAATTAAAGTGAGAAACTTCAAAGCAGGAAAATGCATCTCATAACCTCGGATTTTTTTTTTTAAAAAACAACGCAGGAAGCATCATATGACTACATCAGAAAATAATTTATATTATACATATTAAATAAATAGAATGATGCACATACCTGTGCCAGTGTTTTGCACATGCTGAAGCTTAGGCCCTCATTAGGTTCATTGCTGTAGTGCCTTCCACCAGCATAGCGTCTTGCTGAAGCAGATTCACCTGAACGCGAACTTGTACCAGTTATCTGAAAATCAAATTTCATATATACACAATCATTTTGCATGCCTGATCTCCATATTCCCAAAGAATTATTGTCCTTATCCCCATTATCATTTCCAAGATAAACTTGGACACTGAAAGTCCTTTCTCCATCATATATGTTCAATAAATGGTCAATCATATGCAAAATTACTTGAAAAGCCCTTGCCTGGTCCCCTATCACCAAATCGGGCAACGACTTCTGCACTTCAATTTTAAAATCAAAGCCTTTATATACACACAGACATTTAGCAATACAAGCAGTTTCTCTCATCATCAAATGTAAATTGAAAGGTTTCATCTCTAACTGGAAGCTTCCTTTATCATTTACCGAAATCTCCATTACATCATTAATCAAACTTGAGAGAACATGGCCAACTTTGATCATTGTGTCAACTATAATCTTTTGCTCAGATCTCAAATTGCCCTCTTGAAACATTGAAAGCAGGCCCAGGATTGAATGCATAGGCCTGCGCATGCCATGACTCATCACTTTCTGAAATGATTTCCTTGCCTGACTAGCCATCATTGCATTCTTTTTAGCCTGTTGCAAAGCTCGGTTTTGCTCTGCCAGTTTCTGTCTCATGAGCTGAGACTCTTCAAGAATATTTGCATGAGACAGGGCTACAGCGACCTGATCAGCAACTACCTCCACTATCTCCATCTCTTGGTGGCTCCAAGGCCTAGAGTTTGAATTTGGAAGAACCAAAACCAGAATAGCATAGGATGTATCAACAAACTCAGGTGTCCCTCCTTTAAAATTTGAAACATGAAGCATCGGCATACGAATAGCTGCAACAGCACCTGACTCCCCAGACCCCCCCTTACTTGCAGATCCTAGTACTGATTCAGGCCTCAAAATCCTTACCCCTTTACTTTTTATTATCTCTAAGACATCTGGGTCGTTTATGGGAATAGAATAGTGAAAAATCTCAGGGGAGCTTGTTTTCAACTCATGGGTTAAGTACATTTCTCGTCCATCCTCATTTGGCATCCAAACAGCGCAGTTATGCAAGGCCAATGAGTTAGAGAGCTTAACAAGGGTGGTGTACAAGATTGTATGCTTATCCAGAGACTTTCTGATTTCCCGTGTTAGCATACGAACATGCCAGCTTGCTTCTTTTTGTCTTCTGATCATTCCAATCTCCTGGTCTAATTCCAACACGTTCTGCTTCAGAAAGAGCTCCCTCACCTTGATTTTGAGAAGAAGAGGAATCAGAGTAAAAAGGGTAATTGCAGTTGCACAGGAGACCAGAGCTGTAAGGAGTTTAGCAATTGTAAGGGAGAGCACCAACTGAAAGGAGTGTGGTCCGTAATAAGTATATGCATTAAGTAAATGCGTCAAGCCACAAAGGACTATGAATGCAATGAATTGGAGGAACACCCATTTGAAGGGGAGGTTGGAACGACTAACGAAGTAGAGGAGTTCAACAGGGATCGAAAAATATGCTATGGCAATAAAGAAGTCACTAACTCTTTGGCTCTCTAAAATGTTATGTATGCTCCAAAGCCCCTCTTCGTCACAATTGCACTGCGCATAATCACTGTCGATAGCAGAAACGGAGACAAAGATGTAAGAAGCCAACAAAAGAGAGGCTGATGCTTTTTCCATGGCTCCCCAGCTGGCTAGTATGTTTGAATATCATCCGTAAAAAAATATCATATTCCAAATCTTATCCAAGTTTTTTGTATATGACTAAAGGAAGCCTCATCCACCAGCTGACTTCGTATGATGTTGACGACTGATCTGCTGTATTCAAGGCTCGAGATCTAACATTTGCATCTGCCCAAACTCCTCATACTCTTTCTATTTTTGGGAACTCAATAACTTCAAAACAGAAAAGGCTCTGGATGATCAAAGAAAGCTGGATTATACTGAGAAATGAAATGGGAAAACCCGAATCACCTTGTTCAGTCTGGATTTAGGAAGATCACACACAGCCACACGGTGGAATGATGCATAAAGAGAACAGATTGCAATCGTTATGATATATTCCCTTAAATCAATAAATACTTCATCGTAAACACTTACCTAAGATGTCTAAGGAAAATTAAACCGACAGAAAACGGACTGAATCAATCCTTTGCAACCCAAAAGGCGAAGAAAACTGCTACAGAAAAAGGAGATATTCGTGTTCGCCCATGTCTCGGAGTCTATAGAGAAGTGTGTGGAAAGCTGAGAGAAGCAATGGGAATTGGGACCACACAGATTTACATGAAGCGAACCTAGACTCCCTCGGTTCTGTGCATCCGCCTCATGCCTCCCTCCCATGCCATGAACTTGGAGTATTCACCTGAATACTTTATTGGTATTCCTTGTGTTTTTTAAATGGATATTTGTATACATGTCCTTTTTTGTTGAAATACGTTTACTTCACGCAAATTCACCATCATGCTATAACAAAAAATTATGTTTACCAAAATGCAGGACTTTCAAAAATATTTATCAACATGTTACAAATTAAAAATCGTCCTGATAGATATTAAGTTTTAAAATTTCTTTATGTCAAACATATATAAAACCTAGCTTTCATGGCACCATGTTTTGTACAACTAGACAAAAAAGTCAAACGTACTTATCTGCCACTCTCTTTCTCCCTTCCCCCGCCCACTGGTTCTTTTATTTTCTCGGTTAATGCTACTACCCCTTGCAAAAATTGCAAACAATTCTCTCCCTCCTCTTGTATATATGGTAGATGTAATATCAGTTATCAATTATTTAAATAAAATATTATATATTTGTTATGAAAATAGAGGTTGAAAAGAGGAGAAAAGAAAGAAACCTATAATGAGAGAATTAAGAGCTTTCTTTAATTTGAAAACTAATTGTTTATTAAAGATAAATTAGTAAATTAGTAGATTAATTGTGTTAATTGTGATTTTTAATGGTAAATTGACATTTTAGATTGTTGGACAATTGTATGATTAAGATTAAGTGAAAGAATTGCAATTCAAAGCAGAGCATGTGAGCTAAAGTGAGAGTTTTTTCATCATGCCACTTGCCTTGTGTAACATCTTGAACTTCAATCCAAAAAATTAGTTGTTAATTGAAGATAAATTAATAATTAGTGGATTGATTATGATTTTGAATAGTGGATTAATATGTGGTATTAGGTGGTTGGTGTGTTAATAGGATCAAAAAGTGAGACGACAATTTGGATCATGATGCACGAGCATTAGTGAGAGTTATTTCATTGTGTTGTACTTGCCATGGCGCATTGCACAGAATTTGAATAAATCTGATGTGTAACATTCCAAAATTTTTTTCAATGATTTGTTAATCTAATGAAAGATAATTATGTAAATTTAAGTATAATTGGTTTGAGGATAATTAGAGATGGTCATTGGGTTTAGCTTTAGCCTTTGGATTGAGTTTGAAAGTGAATTGGGTCACCCAAGTTCAAATTGTATAAAGAAATTGGATTTTCTATCTCATTGTGCGTTATGCTACAGTGTAAAAATTTATATTGCAGCATAATTTCTTGAACCAATTTTTTTTTAAACACAAAATCAGGTAAAAAATAGAGGGTAAGACCAGAAACAAAGAGGGGGAGATAAAGTAAGTATTTTTTCTGCTAGGACATTAATTTTTGGACATTTTGGAGGTGACTAAAGCTTGATTTCACTTAGGTATGCCTTTCTTATCTCTTCTTCTTCTCTTTACACATTTTAGTAGTAAGATTTAAGGTTGGGAGATAATGATTTTCAAATTTAAGGCTATGGATCCAAACCTATTAGTCTAAATGGGACTAATGAGAGTTGTTTAAGTATTTTACACATAATTTAGAAGTTTTTACAAGCTTGTAAGCTTGATCATCCATTTTGGATTAACCTTAGACCTCTAAAGTGTGATTTTGAATTGTTGGGTGTTATATTAGTGATTATTTAAGTTAATAGAAGCTAAATAGAGTTAATAGGAGTTAATAAACCTGCTTAAGTGCAAGAAATTAGAATTTTAGGTAATTAAAGTGTTGATTAATAGAAGTTGGAAGAGTGTTTATGATGATTTTAATGATGATTTGTATGATTAACTATAGATCAATTATCTTGTACACTATTCAAGCTTTGGTATAGCTTGTGAAAAACTTTTATTGAGAAGTAAACCTTGACCTCTTAAGGTTCTATTTGGTTTAAGAGAAGGAGAAGGGAGGGGAGAGGGGGGGAGGAGGGAAAGAGAGAGGAGGGAGAAGGGGGCATCCCCCCAAATTGAGGGGGAGGTTTTGGAAAGGATCCCCTACCCTTGTTTGGTAAGGTGGAGGGGAGGGGAGATTTTTTAAAACTTCCCCTCCCCTCCAACCAAACAAGTCTTAAAAGTTTGAGGTAACTGAAAAAAAATCTAATTTATATAATTACTTGTTAATTAATTTTTTGTTGAATTAAATTGTTTATAACTTATTGGGTGATTGAAAACTCATTGATGCAAAATTTTGCAATGTGATGGATTATGTATGTGAAATTGCGTTGGATTATTGAGAACAAAATGCATATTTATACATATGTGATTAATGATGATGATTGAAAGCATGTTATTATGAAAATGATGAATATGTGATATTTGGCATGTGGAATATAATGGAGAAAAAAAATTGTGTGAATATGATATGATGTGATTAATGCATTAAATGGCATGTAAATTATCAATTTGTGCGTGGCATGATCATTTAGATGGGAGTTTGCCTATAGGAAAAGGAGTAGTTGTGTTAAACTCACGTGATAGTAACGGCTTATTGTTGGAATCGAAAACTTGTCTTAGCACTGACCATTGAGATCTGGAGGTAGCTATTATTTCATAGTTGATTAGTGTAAGCTTTGCTTACCTAAACATAGTTAATTATCAACCCTAAGGTAATCAAGGGTTTAAACCTAATAAGAGCTACCAAAATTACAAGTGGAAGAAACAATTTTAAATAATTGCAATAGGATCCCAAGAGTTACAACATTTAAAATACTCTTATTCACTCTTAGAATTCTTAAATCAAAGTTTTAAATAGATGTGGAAGTCTGAGATTCAAATAAAAATAAAAATTATTGATTTAAAGCTCAAAGTTGTGAATTATGCAAAAAATGACATGTGCACTGCGGCTTATTGCGTCATGGCACGAGGCGCCATGGGTCTTAGTACATTGCACGAATTTTGATAACAAATTTTTTGTTATTACTAGGATGAAATTTTAAAGCATCCTAAATCTCTGTCTGACGTCTGATTGCGATGACTTCGATATCTATACAGAGCTTTCTTCTAAATCTAGCTAATGGCACAAGTTTCACACTCAAATTTATTTTTTACAAAGAGTTAGATGCCCAAACCCAATTTCACTCATTTTTCATAAAAACTTACAGCAAGGGTGTTCAAACTCACACACAAGTACTAAAAGCCTACACCAATCATTTAACCATACTCAATGGATCATATATGACTCATGCAATACTCCACACTCAACCAAATATACATATAATGTGATTTCATCACTCAACCCTAAAATTTCACTAAAACACAAGGAGGAAGAAAATTAACTCAAATCATCAATATCATCCCAAAACACCTTAAAATACACTTTTTACTACTTGCACAAGTATTTTAGCCCTAAACAAGATTTACAATTGCAACTCACTAATCCCAAGGCACAAACTACACAAGAGTTACACCATAGTAATGCAAAAAGATAGAAAGTGATGAATGAGTCCTAGTTGGCAATTTAACAACATAAATACACATAAATAAAGTAAAGAGGCATACAAATGGAATTTATATTGAAATCCTAAGCCTCAATATGCTTTCCCCGATCTAGATTAAATGAGCTAGGCCTTGAAAATAATAAAAATTAAGGTCTGAGTACAATCATTTAATAACTAAAGTTCACTTAATTTATACAGATGTATATTAATTAAAAATAGATGCAATTGGTAATAAACATCTATACTTGCACATACAATGAATATAGCCACGATCACAATAATAACAATCATGTGATCGGGCATAAAAGACATGTAATCATATTTATATCAATTATGCATAATATAAGATTGCAAAACTAACAACCATGTGCCCTTAACACAAGCTGAACTATAACAATAACAACCAAATGATAGGATTGAAATGTATGATCAAATGCTAGCCTTATACCCTCCTGTTACCTTCTATATAAAACTAATAGTTATTAAGTGGCTACGACCGTCAAGGATTAACCTAGCTTTTTACTTGTGAAGAGCTACCGGGCTAGGGTTAACTCACTTACTTGTATACTACAATTTTTCCCAAACTAACAACCATAGGGTGTCATATGTAACATTCAAAAAATATGAACATGATTAATTAAGTTAATCAAGGTAATTAGTGAGTTGATAAGGTGTATGGCTAGAGAGGTTTAATGAGTGTGTTTGGTTGTGATTTCAGTTCTAAATACAGGTTCGCCCTGGATGTGAAAAGAGGAAGAAAAATAAAGGGCAAGATTTTGTGTCACGTGCCGCGGCTTGTGGTTGGGCCACCATCAGGCATATGTGCCAATACGCCTGTTAGAGGGCTTTTCTATGTCATACACCACAGCACATTGGCCAAAAATCAGACTTTATCTGTTTGTGTCTACGTGCAAAAACAGAAAGAGAGAAAAGTTAAAAACAAAGAGCACGACTTGGCTATACTAGGGCACATCTATTGGGAACCTTAAGGACATTTAAAGGCTTTCAAACACCTAAGGTAAGTATAATGAGCTTCCTTCCTTTCTTCTACTTCCATTGTTATGAGGATTTGAGTTAGGGTTTGAGTTGGAAGATTGATTATCAGTCTATATTAGTTATGGGTCCGAACCTATTAGTTAAAATGAAAATAATGAGAGTTATTTAGGGTATTCAAACCATACATTGATAATTTTGTCAAGAGTTAGTTGGGAGGAGTTATTTTCATGTGAATTTTACAATTAATAGGGTTGTTGGGGGAGGTTGACACTCATTAATGGTGATTAAATGACTTATTAATGATAATTTGGATCAATAGAACCCAGTGAACCCATTGGGTATGAATAGGTAGTGAATTATGGAATAATAATGATATCCTTGTATTATGATTGTAGTGTGGTTCAAATTGGAACCATTCAAGCTTGTGAGAAGCTTTAGAAGTGATTATTGTGAAGGGTAAACCTTTAGCCTCTCAAAGGTTTGAGGTAACTGGGAGAAACCTAATTTGTATAGCTGTATGTTAATTAGATAATTGTAGAAATTATGATTTAGAATTTGTTGGAAGATTGATTATCGATCTATATTAGTTATGGGTCTGAACCTATTAGTTAAAATGAAAATAATGAG